CGAAAGGCAATTTAGCATCAGAAGCATGGTTCATAAGGTTTTGTCTTTATCACATTCATCGTGATTTAATATTTAACAAGAATATAAAATAAAAAATAAAAGGAATGCATTTTTAAAGATATTTATTTCTTCTTCATTGTGCAATTGAGCGTTGTTACAAATTAGTGTTTGAGAACTCATATAAGAATTTGTTCAGAATATTAGCATGCCAGCATAAATCCAACATGAAATCATCAGTAAGTCATAAAACCGAAATGGAGAATATTTCTTAATTCTCCTTTCAACATTCATTCTGCTTAACATAATTAAATACAAAGACATTCTCAAAATTTAAATTATCTTCGTAATGACTTCGTATTTTCTCTCTCTCTCTCCATGATTCATGTTTCTTCATCTTTTCAGTTACATTTCAATTCCTATTGGTCAAAGAACGAATATAAAATCAATTTTTCATTCTAATTTTTGCTACCTGTAAGAGAAAATTATCATAAATCATATGCTTTAGTATTTGTTTATTGATGATTTCGTAGTGACAAATCTAAAGTAACTTCAGTGTTGATTTCATTTAACAAGTCAACAGTTTAATTTTTCTTAAATTTAGATTCAAAAAATAAATTTCAAGTCATTTTAAAAGGAATTAATCAAAGAAAATTTTCCAGTTAAAGTCACCAGTTTAATTTATTGAAAGTTAAAGAAAAGCGTTCAAGAAGTCTCCAGTTAAATTTATTCCAGTTTTCATTAATAGATAATTTGAAAAAAGTCCATTAGCTAACTTCCTAGAAAAGCTGAAGAAAGGCAGTCAACGAGTCATTCAAATTTTGTGGAAATCCGAGAAAAACGCCCAATAAGTCACCAAAATCATTTCTTAATTTCTTACGAATGGAGCTCATCGGGAATTACAAAATTGAGAAAAAGAATTATTCGTATAAATTTACTACATCAAAAGTTGTTTGTTGGTCCTTGATAAACGAAGTTTTTAAAATCAGTGGAGATCATTTGGAAAGCAGCACTGAAGAAGACGTTTCTGAAGCATCGTTTATCAATCAACTGATTTTCTATTTCCCGAGAAATCTTGGGATATTCTTTCCAAATCTTCAAGTGCTTACGCTTTACAGCTGTGGAATAAAACGTATCAGCAAATTCGATCTTCATGGATTACGACGGTTGAAGGAAATCTCATTGAACGGCAATCATCTGGTGACTCTGCCAAACAACCTCTTTGAATCTACACCAGAAATCGAATCAGTTTCATTTTGCAGAAATAAAATAAAATACATTGGGCCGAATATTTTTGATTCTCTTGATAACTTGAGATATGCGAATTTCAAATTAAATAAAAATATTGACATTGTTTTTAAGGTTGACGGCAAAGGCCCGACATTGGAGGAAATGAAAGCATACATCGCAGAATTCTGTCAAGAAATATTTCATGGTCAGGTTAATAATTATTTCGATAACTTAAAGGGTATTTTTGGTAAGACCTTCACGGCAAGACATTCATGGAGCGAACCAATGGAATCTTATATGGACTTTTATTAATTCCTAGCAAATCATCTGAGCGAGTCCGCTTAAATTTATTCGAAAATTCAAATGAAGAAATAATTGAAACAATTTGCTCCTTTTGAAATTTCAAATTTTCATTTCCATAGAATTATGTTCGTTAAGCATTACAATATCCTGCACATCCCACTCATAAAAGTCAAGCGAACGTTTTATTATCTCATTTATAATAAGCAATTACCTGAAAGTGTTTTTGAGGACGTTATTTTAATAAAATTGTCGACGACTAACAAATTGCCTTTAAAAAATTTAAAATGTTAAATGTTTCAAATGAAAGAAGACGAATAAAATGTAATAAATTTAATTAAATATTTTCTTAAGAAGTTGTAAACTTTTTTCAGGTTTCATTTTAATTTTGTCTCGCTTTTGTATTGAAATCTAATCATAAAGCTTTGCTTCCTAATGATGAAAACATTTCTAATATTTCCCTGCAAAATCAAACAAGAAAAGCTGAACACTCTGAAACAAAGTTTTTAAGTTTTTATAACAATTTATCAGTTTTCTTTTATTAAATGAATAAAATAATTTTAAAAAATGAACAACTCAAGATTGTGCTGAAAACTTTTTATTTAAAAATATTTAAAGCTTATACATTTCCTTTCTTAATGATTTGATGAACCCAATTCATTCTTCGTTATTAATAAAATTAACTTCCAGTGACATTGAAAAGAACTATAATAATTTAAAGTGTCACAAAATTGTGAGTGGAACAGTCTTAAAAATCCACGCCGGTATCAAGAAAATCTCGGATCATGAGTGTGATACGTCGGGGAAAGATTTTCAAAACATGACTGATGAAAAGACAATATTTTGGAATGCTTATTTCAGTTTTGTTTTTCCTAACTCCATCAAGAATTGCCTCAGCAGCTTTATCAGCACGAATTGAACCGAAGAAACCAGGAACCCTAAGCCTTATGTCGTTTTCAAGATTCTCACTTACGATAAATGGATAAATATGAACTAATGTTGTCTTGATCGCTTTGTCAAGCTTTGCAACTCGTAACTCTTCGACAACTGACTCATATAATCCTTGAATCGCAAACTGCGATACACTCAAAGCAAGCTGTTGTGTGAATCCACTTATGGCTGCAACTGATGTAAGGAAGACGATGTGACCTTTTCCCTTCGCTTTCATATGAGGTAAAATTGATTCGAGGAGCTGTGAAAAAACAAAAATAATTATTTTCAAATAAAAATAAACTAAAATTAAATATGAGTCATAAATTTAAGTAGATAAGATTTCTCACGCATTATCACGGTTCATTGGCCTGGATTTAAATAAATTCTCAATCATTCAGTTGACCGATTAAATATTTATTCTTTGTCTTTCTTTGAACTTTGATTTAGTGAGAAAAGAATTTGTTCGAATCAATTTAAAACGATCTTGAACTTTTAATCTCTTGTCTGGGAGGATTTGTCACTTTTCTTTTTTTTAGAGAATTATTTTTGTTCATTGATAACAGACATTAAATAATAAAGTTTACATTGAAAGAAACACGGTCAAGAAATATAAAAAATCGACTTACATAGAAGTAGGAAGTGACTGAAACATCGATCGTTTGCTTGACCGTTGGTGGATTGTTGACAACAGATCGAGGAGAAGGCAATGAACAGCAATGGTACAACATGGAGATGTCACCAACTTCTCTTTCGATCATTGTTATTGTTCTTTCCACTTGATCTTTGCTGGTAATATCACATTGATAGTAAAATGCTGACAAACCAGCTTCTCTTAAACGTTTTGAGGTCGTTTCCTGATCTATTGGTTGTATGTCTATACAAACAGCAATTGATCCTAGATTTCCAATTTTAAATGCTATTTCACGTCCCAAACCTCTTGATGATCCCACAATCTAAAATAAAGAACAGAATAGAAATTATTTCTTTATAAATAAATCATTAATTGCTACTTACAACGATTATTTCATTGCTTAAGCTCTTTTTTGAAAGGGGCAATAAGATGTAAACAAAAGACATGACGAGTTCCTTATATGAAAGAATTCCTAGGAACACCAAATCCCAATAAACTACAGAAATCTGGTAAATTTTTAAAAGCATTTGAGCTGGAAAGCCAAGCTTCCCAATATGCTTCAACCATCCGTGTGACTTTGTTTGTGATCGTTGAGCTCTAAAATCCTAAAAATAAAAATGATAAGATTTAACTCGCTAATTTGTTGTTGTAATTAATTTTTAACTTACTGCGCCTCGACTTGTTGCAGCGGCCATGATTTATTTTAATGAGTATAAATATTCCTATATTTACAACGTGAAACTTCTATTTCTGAGAAAGCGTTTTTTATATTTAGTTTTTAATTTTGAATGTAAAAAATGCGACTTTTTTCTGTCTCGATAATGTCACGACTAAATAACTTCCTTCTCTGAACTAAGTTGTACGTTTGCTTATCATTTCTTCTTTGAAAGTGTAAGTGTAACTTGATGAGAAGAACTTCGAATGTGTACACATTTTTTTTCATGTAAATGCAGGTCAAATGAATGTAAAGAGAGTGATTTTGAATTACCTGCGTGCTAACACGACATTGATCAGCTGAGAAATAAAATATCAACGTGCACGTGTAAGTCTCCCGTAATTGAAGCGTTAACATTTACATATCTTCTAAACACTTAGATAACAATTTTTATTTTTCTAATAGCAAAATTAATCTGAGATACCTAATTGAAGTTTCTGATTTTTAAATGATTGAAATTTATCGAGTTAGCTATCAGTTTACATTTTAACGGCTTTAAAAAATTCAAAAATAAAAAAGCTTTTCAAAGTTTTTCTCTCTTCATTTTCTCTCAGTCAATTTAGCAACATTTTTCTCTCTTGTTTTGATTCAATCCCAATTCTGATAATAATAATATTGAAGAAAAAATAGCTTAAAGATATTTCTTTTTCAATTTCTTATATCAATTTTAGTCGCTCAATTGATAAGGTGTCGTCACAGATTAAATAATGTAAAAGTTAGAGTTTATATCGATTTATATTTTTAGAAGAAAGTCTGAAAATGTCGGGATTAACTGATGAAGAAGCTAATTCGCTTTGCCGGGTGCCAGCTGAAAATGCAACTAAGGACTTCCTCTTCCAACAAACTATGTACAGAATTAAAGATCCTCGCAAGTCACTGCCATTCTATTCCGAAGTGCTTGGCATGAGTTTGTTGGTAAAATTGGATTTTCCTGAAGCTAAATTTAGTCTTTACTTCATGGGCTATGAAAATCCAGCAGAAATTCCTAAAGATCCAGTAGCTCGTAAAGTTTGGACAATGAGTCGCAAAGCAACTGTAGAACTTACTCATAACTGGGGAACTGAAACCGAGGAGGGCCCAGTCTATCACAATGGAAATTCGGATCCTCGGGGTTTCGGACATATCGGCATAATGGTGCCTGACGTTGATGCCGCGTGCGAACGTTTCGAAAAATTTGGTGTTGAATTTGTTAAAAAACCTAATGATGGTCGTATGAAAGGTTTAGCTTTCATAAAGGATCCCGATGGCTATTGGATTGAAATTTTTAACTGCGGGACCGTTCCTTGTTAAAATGTTTCAATATTTGTGCCGTGAAGCAAAGCTGAAATAAAATCAACTTGAAACATCAACAAATAAAAGCTAAATTTAGGCTTTGTGCTTGAAGATATTTATTGTTGTTAGAGATTTGTTGCGTGAAAGACAATAAAATCAAATTATTTTATACATTTTGTGCATCAATATGGCAAAATATCATTAAATTGGTTCATTGGATTACTCACCGCAACAACCACTAGATTGTCCACCAAAGTCACAAAGACGATGAAATGTTTCGAACGCTTTCGTGGAAATAACTTCACAGTTCATTATTTTCTTTGGCCTGAACGAACATAAACTTGATTACAATTAATCGTTCATAAAAAAATCTCAACATTGTGTATTTGTTTTTCTAGTCAATTAAATATTATTTTCCCCTTTAAAAATATCGCTAATACCCACAGAAAGATAAACATCAGAAAAAAATTATCTGAGGATTTTTATGTACCTACTTTGGAAAGTTTTTTTCAATTTTTTTTTGGAAATCTTGTTTTTTTACATCGGCTCATATGGTTTTATATTCTACATGTATAACAAATCTGTTTCTGACATTGTATCTTTGATTAGGATTGTTGACAAAATGAAAGACCTTGAAAATGCTTAAGGTAAAAAAATGTTTTTATGACATCGACATTCGTCGTGAAATATCTCATAAGTATGAATATGAAGTTTATTCTCGAGAGAAAAAGTATTATGATATTAAAGGAGAGAGATTCGAGATGTTTATTTGAAATGAAATTGACTGCTTAAAAAATTCATTTCTTTATAACAAATGAAAAAAATTTTAATACACGATTTAAAAATACTTCATTTTTTATACTAAGGATTCGGTTTAGGTTTTTTTTATTTCATTATTTCTTTGTCTTGTCAACAAGATGAGAATAAACTCTTATGTAAAAAAATATAATTGCTTTAACAATCAGATTTTATTTAAGAAGATTGTAGAAAAAACCTCCATTTATGTCGTGAAAATACTTTTTAACTGAAATATATTTGAGATTAATATTGAACTAATCACTAGGATTAGTGTTGATGTTAAAACAATTTACGGTATTCAGACTAAACGAAAATGTATGCTCAACTTTTATTCATCGTCTAGTTTCGATGACAAAGGTTTAGCTTGAAACGATTTCTGTGTGATGATTAAAATTTATAAATTTAACTTCATGAAAGGAGATTGCTGGTATGATCAGATGGTGTTGATTCCAATTTCTATTTTCTTTAACATTGAATTTATGATTTTTGGAAATAAAAATTTAATTTTCTAGATCAAAACGTTAGACATGTTTGTGATAAAACATCTCATGAAAAAGATCAAATGATGAGATAAAAACAAATCTCAGTGCTCATAAATATTTCATTTCCTATTTTGCGAAATTCCAACTTGGATGTCAATTTAAATTTTCAGTGTGCTTACACATTCAAAAATTACTGCCAAATAAACATGGATGCAAATTTCGAGCTTAAAAAGAAGAAAATTCGTCGAATTTTAAGAAAACTAAATAAGGAAAAGCAGTCGAGAAATGTTTTTGATGATGCCAGAAATGATCTCGCATATCGTCAACATGTTAAAATGGTAATGAAGAACTAGCAAAATGACAAACATCTACGATAGTTTCTTCTGTTATTTTGTTTAAGGTTCAAAATATTGAGAAAAAGGTCGACAATGATCCCCCCATAATCTCACCAATAGTTTTTTTCCCGAAACACAAATTCAAAAGTTCTCAGACTGAAATGGAGTTTAGGATGCGAAGAAACATGAATCTTGTTAATGCTTTCAATAGGATTCATCGTGGAAGGGTAACAATCGTATTCTAACAGCAAAATTACTATTTCTAAGGTTGAAAACTTTTTCAGGGAAAAGTTGACTGCCACAACACAATACCGCCTAGAAAAAATATTGAAATGCAAGAAAAACTTGCTACGCTTGAATTCATTGACAAGTCAAATAAAGTCATTGCGAATAATTTGAAGAAAGTTGTAAGTTTTTCTATTAAATTTCGAAATTTTCAAAAAAATTTGTTAGCATTGAATTTTCATTCGAGCAACCGACGCTTGATTCAAATAAACGTGACTTAAGCAAAATTTGGGAACTTATTCACCGACCAGCAATTATTAAAAGCACTAAATATCCGATTGTCGTCGACTCTCTATTGACGAGTGATTTTGATATTTGTCTTGAAGATCCACCCGATGTTAAAGAATACGAGAAACTTCCAAAGTATGTCAGATGAAGATTTAATGTGTCAAAATTCATGTTAAAAAATTTCAGAGTGTATTTTGTTTTTGCTGACAAAAACAACCACATTGGTCGCATCAATGTCATGCTTTATTCTAAACATCAACCTGAAATCGTAAATCAAGTTATAAGACTTTGTCGGAATCGTGATACCAAAAATACTTTCAAGAGTTCGTTGATTTATAAAATCATCAAGGATCTGCTTATTGAATCTGACGAGATTAACTTTGAAAATGAACTTTATTATGATGAAAGTTCAGTGATAAATGTTCATGGTGAGAAACAAAAGCAGAAACGACGTCATTTCGGAAGCATCATCTCTTCCATGAAGAAAGGAAATTCAATCAGCTTTAAATTTTCAATCAGCTTAAAGGAATCTGAAACACCTGAAGGAAGTCAGATCGTGATTGGGCGAGTCGTCAAAGGTTTAGACGTGCTAAGAGCATTAAACAGTTTTGGAACAAGCTTTGGTGTGCCAAGGAAACAAATCTTTATTGAGGACTGTGGATGTTTCTAATAAATAAATAAATTAATTTTATTATTCTCCTTTCCTTTTCTCTTTTAAATTTAATATTAAATTTGACTACCCTCAAATCAACCCCCTAATTTCATTGTGACGTCACAAACATCCGTTGCTATGCTACCGTTGCATACACAACGTAAATAAATAGAAATATAGCAAAATAGCAAACAAAATTTTCATTTATTCAAGAACGTTGATAAGCTTCTTCATTCAATAATCAAAATGTCTTTGATAACTTTACACAGAAAGTGTTCAATTGCTTACGAAAATCGTCTTTGTTCGTTTGCTGCCTTTATCACATTGTGTGTTCTCTTAATGGCAGTAATTTCTCCTTTTGTTTGGATTTACAAAAGCAACAGCGATAAGTTTTCTAGAAATAATGATTTCATCATCTTCAGTCAACCAGTTATTAAGTTCAAGTACAAATTTATTTTGTTAGCTGAAAATTCAATGGATAATGAAGAGAAAGTTATTATGTGCAGTTCATTTGATCTTTTGAACAATGAACATCAAGGCGAAAATTGCGCAAAACTTAAAGTAGTCGAGAAAGATGAAAACTACGATGGAGTTCCAGATGAGATTCAACTTTCAGTAGAGCTCCACACAACCCACAAATACGGTATTAAGATGTTGTCGTTGGTGGCATTCTTTGACGGTTTTGTGTACGACCAATGCCTGTTTAACATTCCAACTGCAATCGTTGTCATTCAAAAGCCATTTGTCAACTTGTATAATCGAAAAATTCTCATCAGTGGATCATTTCAACCTTACCAGAATCAAGCTTTGCAATGTCCATTCTTACTGAGAAGGGTCAGGTCGCATTTCTTCTATGAAAGAATCAACGAAAATCAGACAAATCTTGACGAGTTTCATTTTGAGAACATCAAGGAAAATTTGGAAAGGAATCCAATCTTCTTTTACTTTCAAGAATCTTCTACAGAGTTACAGGAAATTGAAGAAGATAAAACAATTGTCAGGATAAAAATAAACATCCCAGAAATTCCAATTCGTTATAGAAAAACTTTTTGGCAGCTCGTCAATGATCTGTGGATTAATTATATTGCGATTTTTCTCATCACTCTCACTGTTTATAAATTCATTTTAAATTATCTCTTTGAGAATCGATATCTTAGAGCACTCAAAAGAAATCATTTGCTTAAGAAGGAATATTGAAATCTCGCTTGAAAATAATGATGAATTGTAAATCCTGAAGTTGTTTGAACCCAACAAATAATAAACATCCTTAATAAAATTAAATTTATCCGTTTTTGATTGCCCTTTCGGATACTTTTAGTCTCATTCAAATATTCATTTTGTTCTACATCCAATGGACCCAAATCTTAATCAAAAATTCATTATCATTGAATTTAATATCTCCTGAAAGTTTTGGGCATTTCCGCTTTATGTCATTTTTATCTTTTAACATTATGCGCCTGAAAATATTTCCGGCATTCGTCAGTTGTCATTGCATCAAATACCTATATAAAGTTTAATTCAATGTTTTCGAAGGTTTTTATTTCGTCTTTTATTCCTACTACATGGTGTCTAATTTTATTCCATCATTTTAATTTAAAAGTCATGAAAACTTTAAAAAGCAATTGCTGTCCTATATTCACATTAATTTAATCAAAATATTAAGTGGTGGAACTTTAATAAAAATTTTCGACCAATCTTGATTATAAACTCACTTAGGGGAAAGTGAAAAAGAAGATCAAACCCATAGAGAAAATCGTGAATCAATACGAAAATAAATTAATTTAAAATTCAAAGCTGATTAAATTTCTTTGAACTGTATTAAAGTTGATTCATGTTGTTCGTCTACCAGTCCCTTCAACTCAAAACATAAAAGTCAACAAATATAAAACTAAAGCGTCGTGTCGCATTTACAATAAATTTCTTTTGCATCTCTTTTGGTTGAACTGCATACTCGTCGTAACCTTTTTGTGATGCGATTTCTATAATGATTTTTTTTAAATCGTTTCAAAGAACTCTTTGAGAGAGTCAACATTTTGATTGAAAAATCCTTTATTGAAAAGTGTAAAAGGATGTTAAAGAGATCTTTTTCTATGGCAGTCCATTGATGCTAGATGGAACGTTGTCATTTTATTTAATGCTAAATTTATATTTCATGAAGTCCCTTGAATCAATCGCAACTAATACAAAAGAAAAACTCATTAAGGTCCTCGAAGAAAATCGAATCTCATCGATTCTTTCATCAGTAGTAATAATCCTTGGGGAATCTTGTTCATGACATCAAGTACGATGAAAATCTGTGAAGCTGTGACTTCAAAGAAAAATATTTGTTTTTACCATTAGCAGCAACCTTTTCTATCTTCAATCAGTAAGTTGTTGGCATTTCCACTACAAACATTTCAGCTTTATCTTTCTCTTTCATGTGATAACAAATGCGTACACGTTTTATTGTAAAAAGATAAGAATCCATCATTTTACGATCCACAAAGTAATAAATGCACTTCATTTACTTTTATTGAGGTGTTGTCATTACTCTACGCAAAAAGCGTTCTTCCTAAAATGTTGACATTTGAGAAGCTTATCAAATCTATTCAACATATTCCGAGAAATGTCAAATTCAACTACATATCTAAAGAAGCTTAAAAAAGGAATATCCCAGACGACAATCTTTATTTCTGTTTGCATCCCTGTCACACAAATCACATCACAATGTGAGCGATGATGTTTGTAGATTCTCATCTTATCTCGCATCAATCTACTTATGGTCCTTTATGTAGTTCATTTGTACGAATTTATGAAATCACTTTTCAAAATTAACTTTATATAACAACCCGTATATTGTAATCCATAAACGTGATTGTGGTTTTGAAAATAATGAGAATTATAATTGAGTTTCTCTGAAATACTACATGAAACATGAAAAAATTAATGAAATTAATTTTATGCAATCACCAATTAATCAACACACTTTATTTGACTTTTGTGATATCTTTCATAAGTAGAATTGTTATCATTGAGAAACATTACATAACGATTATTATAATTTTAAGAAACGGCTATCAATCTTTTATATGTTTATTTATGAATGTATGCTTACAGTTGAGAAATTTTAAATATCCAGTCAATCTTTGGAGGGTTATAAAACTAATATTACGAAAATTTATCTATGCGATTTAAAATTTTAATTTCATATCAGCAACGTTGGTTTTTGAAGTACATATCACAATTTATCATTTATCCACTACATTAAGAGCTTATAAAGTTTGAATAAGTGTTTTATTTTCTAAATTCAATTCACTTACTTTACTTGTTTTGAGTACGTTTAGCAATGTTGGAAAGCAGCCTGATATTGACTAGCAATCTTAAACGCACTCCTTAAGAAGAAGCTTTTTTGATATTTGATAACCGTTGAATTGTCACAATATTAAAGGAAAATGGAATCTCTTTTAATACATTTATTCAAAGGAATTACATTGATATCAATTATATGACTTAAAAGTTAAAAATAATTTATGAATTCTTACATACAAGGTTTTTCCATAAATAATTATTTATTAGATATCTTCTGAATAATCTTAGAAGAAAAAGCTTTTCGAAGCATTTTTAAAAGTTGATTTGGCATTGTCTTCATCGCCTTGTAAAGAAAAACCTTCACTAGAGTTGTGTCATTTGTGTCTGTGTCTCTTGAATTGTTTCAACCTGCCCCCGGCTATCCATCTCGATTAATCTTTCTGGTGATATCCTTTGTTTAAGGCACTTTGGGAGAAAAATATTCGCGAAAGTTTCACGAAATTGTCGACTCATTGTACAATAGAGGATAAAATTTATGCTACTGTTGAGCAAGGCAAGAAAATCCATTAAATCACCTGTGAAAGGAAATTAAAATTAATTGACAATAGACAGTTCAATGACTTATGGTTGTAAGTAGTAAATAACATTCTTGATCATTATTTATGTTTACCTAACTTCTGGTAGCAGTAATGATAAAAACTTTCATGAAGAAGAGCTGAAAGAAGTCCCATTATAGCTTGTGGAAACTCAGTTATCAGGAAAAGTAATAAAACTGCAACAAGCATTTTTGTTGTTCGGTCCGCTTGCTTTTTCTTTGATAATAACTTCATTGAAACATTTCCTGTTAGTTTAGCTTTTCGTCTTTTAGCTTCATAAAGTGCACGAATTAATTGAACTGAGAAATATGTTAAAGCGATACACGGCAATAATTTGATAATAACTGAGTACACCCAAAGATAAGCTTTTTCATGATGTTCTATGAATTCCGATGGCCACACTTTGTAGAGGGTTTTAGTTTCATTTGTCATTTCTGTCGTGGAAGAGTTGTCAAAGACTTTGAATTCCTTTATTTTCAGTGACATGTAGATGGGTATATTCACAAAAACAGAATAAATATAAGAAAAAGCAATGATGTGGAAAGTTTTTCTCATAAAGAAATTCTTTTTGTGTGGATGACAAACAGCGACGTATCTCCAAAGAGCCAAAAATATTGTTAAAAATATCGAGATAGTGTGAGCCGTTTGACTTAAAGTTGCATGAATTAACACGTACAAAGCATAACTATAAGTAAATCTTTCAAGTTTTGTGTTGATGTTGAATGCATAGTCCACTGCATATGGTATGTAAATCACCATTACGAGGAAGTCTGAAATTGCTAGTCCCGCAAGTATAAAGTTGATGTGTGTTCGGAGATCTTTTCGAGTGAGAACGACCAGATTAAGAATGTTTGTGATTGATCCAAATATGCAAACACATAACGACAGCTGATAGTGTATGCTATTGAAACTATAAAATAAACAAAAATGTTTACATCAATATTACTTTTCGCATCACATGTTGTCAGCAAGATATCTGGCTATAAGCAGTTTGTTTAATTCATTTTGATGAGTCATGTTTATAATAATGAAGTCAAAGGAAATCAATTGGGTGAACGCAAACATATCGAATGTGTTAGATTTTCTATTTTCGCTTCTATTCTCTCATTTATTCTTGTTTTTCACACTCGATTTGAAAGCAATGATATTTATGGAAACGTCAATTAACAGAATATTTATGATGTGAGAAATCATTATGATAATGTTCAGCATTTATAAAGATCTGTCTAATCGAATGATAGACATTAAAAATTATTTCAATGAATGCTTTGAATCTTCGTCTATTATCTTCTGTCCATTAATTAATTGACAATCTCTTAATTGAATCAGATAGGTGAAGATATAAAACACACACAAAAAAATTAATACTTACAATGTGTGGAAGTCGTTGAGATCCTGAACACAAAATGGAAATGGTATGCTAATATTTGCTTTTATTTCGGACATCGTAATTCAGTGAAATGAGGTCAGCCAACTATGTTACGTGATATTTTAGGATTGTCTTCTTTTTATTTTGTTCTTTTTCACTTAGTTAAACCTTATTTTAAGTTCATTTCTTCATGTCGTTGTTACAGATGATAATTTGATATTTTTCACGTTCTTAAGTCATTCAGACGAATCTCAACATTTAAAGACCTGAAGAGATAGAATAACAAATAAATATTATCATTACATTAACTTGAATATCTAAAATCATTCCCTTATCTAATAAAATAAACGAATATTCAATGTTTCCATATTTCAACGAATATTTTTTCTTATCCAATGTCCCGTTTTATATTCTCGTCAACGTATTAATAACGAATTTGATATTGTCGAACCCCATTTCTATTTTATCAACATCGCTTTTTCAGTTGAATCTAAATATGAATTTCTTTCAATTATTTCCTCGTTCAGCAAATTCAAAGATTATATAACAAAATGAGATAAAGATTTTACGTAAATTTCATACATTCATAGACCCATGAAGAATTAAAATTGATTAGAAACAATTTTCAAATCCTTTATTCATGACTCAATGTATGCTACACTTTTCATACATTCAATTTCTAAAAAGCTTTGTTTGGTTTATCGTTCCGATATTAAACCAGAGCCCAAACAAGCATAAATGTTTTCTATACAACAATTCTATTGTATGAAATTTAGATCGTCTAACAATGTTGACGTTATAATAGAAACTTTACTTGTTATACCACTTAAAGGCAAGCTTAAAGGTATGTTTTCATTCCAATCTAAGGTAAGTTTAACAAGTATTTTTGTTGCAGTCACAAACATTCATCGTAACATTCATTTTTCCGCTAATTAACAAAAAGCAATAAAGTCACTAAAACCATAGAACTAGAAGAAACTTGCTAACAAACTTAAAATTAATTAACTTGCCATCGCATAGCTTCAAAAGTAATAATAATTACTTCAGTTTGAAACACAAAATTGGAAGTTTTGTTTCATTCAGCACGCAAAAGTAATGAAACAAAAGGCAAAAATGATAGTGGAATGTCATCTAAATACGCGGTTTAATTATAGGATAGATTCCATTACAGATAATACCAATACAATAGCAAACAATTTTCCATGAACAAGTGATGAATTTACTCTTTGCAATCGCTATCAATTATTTTTTTTATCTCAGTAATTAGACATAAAACTCCATCAGTTCTTCCTCAGGGTACTTTCAACTGTTTTCCTCATCGTTCAAATTAAAAAATCTTTCATAAAGTTTTTCCATTTAGAAAATCAAATTACACCCAAAGCTTGATATTTCCTTAATTTTATTCAAAAGTCACAATCTGGAAAGTAAACAACACACCTTTCTGACTTAAAATGATTACCACACTTGCAAAGCAATTTAATTTCCCTCGGAACATAAATTTTATGAGTAAATACAAGAACGTTTAAATATTCATATTCTTTAAGGAATTTAATCCCAAGTTTAATTGTTTTGCGAGTTGAATCTTATAAATTTAAAAGTTTTTAACTTTCTTGTATTCTTTTGCTGATTGAAGAAACTTTTTCTTCCAAAATATTTTTCATGTATGCATTTAAAGTTTGAGTTGAGATCAATTTGATGAATCTTTATATGAAATTCCCTGATGAAATCCCAAAGTAATCTCTGTGACAACATTGCATTAATTATCATGTGACCTTGTATGCAGAGTGGCTTTTTTACAATTTCAAGACTAAACAACTTTTTGACGCTTTTGATGCCTTTCGCTTTTGGGGCGATCACGAGCATGTTTTGTTTCCATTACACGTCGCATCTGCTACTTACTAAGCTTACACTTTCTCATGGATACACACTAAGGATTAAAGTTATTATTTTGTTTCGTTTTTATCTCAATACACGTAGCGTTACTGGCGGATGTTTTTATGTTGTGCTTATATTCATACTTTTATTATTATCATAATAAGACTAAAGGACTTCGATACATTAGGACAGGACAAAAACTCGTAATGCCACCGTAAGTATCAATTTTTTTCTGCCTTTTCTCATCCTTTCGTAACCACGATGAAAGCAGATAAGCTTCATGTTATTATACATTATTAATTAGGCTATAAAATATGAAATAAATTACGAAAGATAATCAATTGACAGAATCATTTCTGCATCGATCCCAATGTTTTGTCGCTTCTTTTGCCGATAAATATAAGAAAGCTTATGTTTATCTTGACCATTGAATGGATGATTTATAAACATTTCTCTTTCTTTTCTAACCTTTTTACTCGAGATTTTAACGACCTTTAATTTTTGTTTGGGTCGTGTAAATATCAAGATAGTTTCCACATTACCACAAGAAACTTACATAAATTTCTAAACAAATATTATGTTTTTAAAAGTGTTTTTTATCACATAAATATTCTTTTTTCATTCACAGCAAAAGGAAAAAAATTAAAAAGCTTACTTGATATGCTGTGAGAATCTATTGTGATATCAAGAAAAACGTTGGTGAAAACGAAACTTTTTGTTGGAATAATATCTGCAAAATTTATAAGCTTTAACCAGGAAAAAAGAAACTTTATACGGGAATGTTGAATTCTCATACAGTGAAGAACCTTCGATAAGAAATCCTAGCAATAATAAATTTCACTCAATAGTGGAAAAAAGTTGCATCTGGGTCAAAATTCCCTCAATATGAAATTTCACTCTTTATAAGAAATAAATTTTCGATCCCTTCAATGTGTTCTTATCAAGAGTTGACTGTATTAACAAGAAGTTTGTAACGCGATACGTAAAGTTTTCTTTCAAAAGAAGTAGGTAGTAAATATAATTCACTTTTCTTCGTAATCGTATACAGTAAATTAAAATTCTTGGAGATCTTCAATGTTCCTGAAATTCAATTCAGGTTGGGCGTAACTTACGCCCTTGTACGTCACGTGCATGTTTCTAATTAACTTGGAAAGTGCGTAACTTTCTTGTTGTTTTTCCCACTTGAATGCTCTTTTAATGAACCTCATTTCGAGTGAAGCACTTCTCAGAAATCAAATGACAAGAGTTCGCTTAATTTCTTCTTGCTCTCTTCTGAATTAGGACTTTTGAGGTTGAAAGCAATTTAAGCAGGTGAATATTTGAGGAGAATGGAATGGAATGTAGAAATAGAATGTTGACAATGACTCTTAAATTAGAACTGTTGCTAATACAAAATATTAAACCTCACTTGTCAAGAAATCCTTTTTTCTTCATCCAACCACCATCACCTTTAATATTTATCTACATAAACTTAAGTTAATACAAAAACATAAACTTCTCTGCTTAAATCACATATTTAAAGTTTTTCTTTCACTTGAAAACTTTTTACGTAGACAATAAATTCTTTCAATTCTTTTATCTTCTCATTGCAGGTTCTGGCATAAGCTGTCAAGTGAAAACCATTAGCAGGAAAGTTAAAGAAATCAAAGCAATGAAGATTGATTTATTAAACCAAGCTTGACGTCATAAACAGTTAAGGTCTTTATTGTTCCCATTTCTTTTCCTTTTGTCATGTGCCTTCTTAATTCCATTGAATGGAGAAGTTAAAAAGTAAAATCATTGCTCGCTTTTTGAAACCCCTTTACGATACATTTTGCTCTTAAACTGTTTGCTCAGGTGCTTAAATTATAAATTTCTTCAGATTCATCTTTCGAACGTTAATCTTTGAACTTTTTTCCGAGTACATGTGAAATATTTCTTGTGCAATTATTTAACATCAAAAGATTTGTTTTCTTTCCTTTCATGTGTAGATTTATCATTAATTATTCGCAGAAAGCTCCTTTGCTAATTTTAAGATTTTAAGCATTCAAATTTATTGCGCATTTCTTCATACTATGTTATTAATTATTTACATTTGAACTTCAACATAAAGGGAAGCTTGATGTTAATCACATTGAGAAAAATTCACAACAAAGTTAAATAAAATCGGATTAGTTGCCATTACATTGAAAGTAGAGATTTATATTCAATTCAAATGAAATTTCTAAGGATTATAACTTTGTTTTTAAGTGGAAAAGTACTCGACTGCAAATTGAAATGCAAATTTTAATTATAAAACAATTAAAACTTCTGATTTATTCAATTTGAAGCATTTTGTTCTGGAAATTGTTACGATTCCAGCTATCAGGTCTGCATTATCCCAAGATACTTAAATAACAAAAATTGTGAAGTATTCAAGAGAATTTTAAAATTTAGTTCAAGCTTCAGTTCTTAATTCAAACCCTGTTTAACGTCATTGTAAAAATATTTTATATCATACAATATGAGAGCAGGAAATATTCGTCTTGGACTTCAGACGATGAATATTTACGTCTTCAATCACTTGCTAAGTGCGAAGGAATTTTTTTATCATCGCTTTAGAGTTCTAGTGGCTGTGACTGACTGGCGATGTTTGCTTTGCTGTTATGCAAATTTAATAGCAATTTATCGGAAATATTTTTAGACATTCATTGTCAACACACTGGTTTGAGTAAATATTCAACAACATTCGACACTTGAATGAAAACCGGTAGAAAGCATCTGGCAGTATTTTATTTACTCAAAGTTATGTTACTGTTTCCCCCAAAAACAAATAAAAAAGAAATTCAATGTTCATAAAAGGTGCTGTTATTAATTAAGATTAAGAACAAACCCGACATTTAAACGCCCGTCACAACGATGATGTTCACTGTAAGCTTCACAATTATTAATTTTTAGGCAATTTTTTATTTCATAAAACTTTTATCACTTTGCTTTTGATTCCTTTCTTCATCAATAAACATTTCATGCACTAAAGAAAAATTGAATGTTCAAAAGTTTTTAAATTAACTTTTTATTTTCCAAAAAGTTTTTCAATATTTCCTATATTTTCATTAATTTTTTTTATTCTTCATAACAGCTTCACAAAAAATTATTCGGAATTCAGAAAAACTTCAGTCAAGTCTGGCGCGTTGCTCAAATCACACTGACAGTGAGAGAATGAAAATGAATATGTTCATCATCATCAGAAAGCAAAAAAAAGCTCACAACACTTGTTGATAACATTGCGTAAAGATATTTTCTCTCATTCTCTCAAATTCACTCTTAGCAAGGAATGTTAATCAGATATCGCACGTGCTTGAAAACCATTGAAAGAAAATCTGCTGGCATAAATGACGGCGCCGATTATTCACAAAAATATTACAAATTTGTATGCTAAGATTGAGTTATTTATGATTTTTTTCTTCATTTAGGGAAGTTGTACTGTTTGATGTTTTCCCTTTTGATATTTATTTATATTCATATTTTAATTTTAATTCAAATTTATTATTGTATTCATGAATTTACAAGCTTTTGTGTGTCTCATATCTAATCATGTGTCGAATCCTACACGTATTTTATTACAAATATTTTCTAATTGACATATTGATATTCGTTCTTAAGTAAATAAATAAATGTACACATTTCCAATCATTATCATATCGATCGATTAATTAGTAAATGTGTTGTCGTATGAAAATTGAAATTTGCGTTGCCTTCAATTAAGTCTGATCTAAATTTAATTTGGAATTTCCAAATGGTCTTCAAGAAAATTAAAATTTTGTAAATAAAAAAAGCCAAATCGATTAATAAATTTAGCTTTTCAAAAGCAATTGCAATAAATTTCCATTTTCATATTTATTGAAGATATTGAAATCTTTTTAGATAATGTTTATTTAAATTTATATTCAATAGAAATAAATTCAATTTAATAGTAGCTGACAGATTTATTAGATTTCAATATTAATTTAAGCATGGAAAAGGTTTCTGTTTGTCATCTGAACCCCAAAAATGTAAATCAGCAATTAAGATTTACAAATATTAATAATCCTTTGTTTTATTAAATTAACAAAAATATCCTTGATTGAAATTGAAAATTGAAAGAACTGTTTTGTATTAAAATTAAACATTTGTGTTTAGTAAAACTGAGTGCAAGTAATGTGAGCTCTGTTAATGACACAATTATCTAAATTTCTCTTATGTATTTAATTATAACTATTGTCATAGAATGAGAGATTAAGTCTTCAGGGTAAAGTTTTGTAAATGAAATCATAATTAAATGTCATTTAGTTCTAACTTAGAATATCTACATGAAAGTTTATGAAAAATTATTCCGTTTCCTATGAGATACAAAACAATTTCCCGCCTTTACTTTATTCGCAGGAAATGTTTTCTTTAATTTTGAATATCATTGAATCATGCAACGCCAGTATAAAAATATTCAAATGGAACCAAATTTCCAGACTGTTTTTTTAAATTGTTTCGCTAGAAGCATGTGAAACAATGCAAATACTTGATGAGTATAAAGTAATTATTTTTGTGAATCTTCTCGAAGAGCTTCTTGCTTTAGCTCAGAGCGCTTTTCCTTTCTTGAGAAAAGTTAGATGTTTGAAAAGTTCAATAAGTTACTCAAATACTTTAATCAAATATCCTTAAAATTTCTTTCCAGATTTAAATAAGACCGCAAATCAATTTAACATGGTTTTCTACTCACTAAACTTGAAGAGAGTTTAAGATTATTCATTGCTAATAAAAGGAGGATTGACAATATCGAAAGACATTCGTAATTTATTCAATCCCCCAATACAAGCTTTTGTCATATTTCAAACCCAAGATGGCCAAAATTATCAACGCAAAATCTGTTCTATTTCTTTGCTTAAGATTAAATATTAAAATCTCATTACACATTTTCTAAATTTCATTTAAATTACAATTTTTCAAAACCATTAAAACCTCAAGTCACTTTCCTAAATGGTTTTTTGTACTTTCTCATCGAGAATTTGAATGCCGGTTCTATTTTTAAGTGAAAATATTTAAATTCAACCCGCATTCAGCTTTTCGCAATTTACTGATAGATTTTGGAAACTTCTAGTGAATCTAAATTTAAATTCATTTCCTTGCAACTTTCTGTTAATGACACTTCTAAACTTAATATTTATGTAAAATGTCAAGGTCGTGAGAATAAGACTTTCGTGCATTCCTTTGACTGCAGGGTTTGTCACCCTCATTATCGAAAATAAATGCAAAAGCATAACAATTTAGTGACCATTCAAATTATCTCTCGAAAATTCGAGATTATGTGAAAGCTCAATGTTTTGAAAACAAATATTGTCGTACCCTCATTTTAGGATTCATGATAAATAAATATGTTAAACAAGTTTAAATTTGAAGTATCAAAGTTTTATTAAAGAAAATTACTTGTGAAAGTTTTACTATATTAATATTCTAAACTTTGTTGTCAACTTCGAGTTAAATAAGTTTCTCACAAGATACCGCTTAAGATTAAATTTCTTTAATGATTTATCTTTTGCTAGATATTTCTTTACTTCATAAGAAACTGTATCATAGATACATAGAAAGCTGTTCAATGACTTTAAAAGAAGCGACTCATTAAACAACCCCCACAAAACTTTTCATTAATCATCTTAGCTGATAGAAACAAATAAAACATGTAAATAGAAGGTCAACTTTTATCTTGACTTTCATTCATACTCATAGAAATAGAAAGAGAAAATAAATAAGCGATTAATCTTCACAATTCTACTAATAATTAATTAAATAATCTATAAAAATAACAAAAAATAATCCGCTATGCAAAAACAAAAATATGTAGATAAGCATAGAGATTAAATAGAATTATCTTTGAATATTTTTTAAAAGGTTAATAATTAACTAAGATCTTAAAGATCCACAAACTTTCAGAATTTATTTTATAATTTCAAAGAAGATTGCGTATTGACGTCAATAGATAACATTACAGCAAACATTCTCTGTGTCTATTTTAAGCAAGTTAATATGCCTCCCCAAATTTGGTATTGACACTTCAAGATAAATTTGAATCATACTTCATGAATATGAATGCCAATTTAATATTTTTATGTCAATAAAAAAGGATTGTATTGAATTTATGAGTAACATTTGTTAACCTTTTATTTGTGTTCCTTAAATCTTAAAGCATATAAAAAGTTGCTTTAAGAAACACAAATAAAAAAATCCCACATATTTTGCTATCAATTTAATTTGGAATCAATATATCAATATCAATAAAAATACTTACTTTATTATTCCAAACTCGTCTCAATAGTGAACTTCAAACCAAACAAAATCTTGTACATTTCTTAGTAATCATTCAGCGTTCTTTTTTTATTGTATCACTGATTACAACAAAAACTTGATAATCAAAAGAAAAGTTTTTATTGTTTGCTAAACTTATTTCACTTGAATAATTCGTTAAAAATTGATTTTAAGAGGGAATTAATTATTCTTCTTCAAGAAATATTATATTCGGATTAATTCGATGATTGTTCACTTCAAAACTTCTTTGAAAGCTTTTCAATTGTTTTTCTTAAACTTGAAATCTTTTCGAAGAATTAGGTTTGATGTTAGCAACATGTGATCAGTTACAATGTTGAAATAGTACTGAAACGAATTTATGTCGAGAATCTGTACGAGAATTTTGTACAACAACAGAAATTCTCTCATTTCTGAAATTTCTCTGATTGTTCTCTCTCCAAAGTTTACCGTCGCACGTGCTAAAAATTAAAGAAAGCAGTGATGAAGCTTTACAAAAACAAAAATAAACAAAAATGATGGAGACTTAATGGTGCGAATGCAAATTACGCATTTCTCTGTTCATGGCAGTTTCCTTGATCACACTAAATAATAGATCTTAAAGCTTCTTGGCGTGAATAAATTATTTTCATCCTTTTTGTTAGTCAAGAGGAAAATTAAAATTTCTTTTAAAGATACAAAAATTATGTTGACGTCAGTAATCATTATTCATACAATTTTGAGCTTACGATAATAAAATCTAAATCACAACCAGATTTCTTGATGAAATCATCGAGTATGAATTTATTACGTAAAAAGATTCCTAGTTAAAAGTTAGTAGACGAGAAATCATGATAAATCTCTTTAGCGCACATGTATGAAGCATCAAAGAAATTTTCTTATTCCAATTCTTCAAAACTTCGTTTTTCCAAGATATCAAATGAAAATAAATGGTGGACATTATTGGGTTTTATATTATGCGTCCTTGTATGATGCAACATCATGAATTGACCTCGAGTTTCAGAAATTTTGTTTCGAAGACATCGATTAAAACTTCATTTGTTTACAATAACAAAATGTTACAATAGCAAAACATTCTTCAGAAATCTTATTTACGCTTGACTTTGTTGTTGAGGTTGTTCAATAACTTGTAAGTAATTAAAAAATATAATCTTCCAAGAATGTTGATTGAGAACTTGCTTGCACTTTGATTAATTTATCGTAGGAAAGTTTAACTTTTAATAAGTTCATCTTCTAAGAAGTAAAAGTTCATCTCTCACAAAGAAACTTTTTAATGGTTTCAGTGAAGGAGACAATTAAAAAAAGGGATGTTTACAGAGCATGTAAATAGAAATGTTTTCAATTTATTTTATTTATCTAGTCATGAACTTTACTAGCTGTTTTTTTAAAAAATGTTGTTTGTATCTTTCCATCATATGCCGAGATTCAAGAACTCAAGGAAAAAGCATCATAATGTCTTCCTAGAAGAGTAATTATATGATAAAACTTGCTTCACAATGGCAATTGTTTTGCGAATAAGAGAATAAATGAGCCAACAATGTGACTTTTAGTTCAATTAAAAGTTGTGAAGCCAACATTGTAACTTCTGCTCCATTTATCATTTAATTGTTGAAAGTTTTTTCTTTATTCCTTTCAAATTTTATGCACGCCTTGGAAAAGTTGCCTGAAGAATACGAAATCAATTTAAAAAATAAAGAAAATATGTTGAAGAAGTTAATAAAAATAAAGTTAAGGTTGACGTTCGCAAAAAGAAGTAAGCATGTTAATGTTTGGTTGTGAGTTTTATTCGCTTATATCAGGCAATAAATTTTACTCTATGAGAATCAAATTATATCCCGACATTTGAGAAATTGATTTTTTTTGCTAGGCTTGCAGTACATAAGTAAGATGTGAAATAACCGCAATCATATAGCGACAAGTATGAATTTATTTTACGTCTGTCACTGCTTCGCTGAATAAATTGATATTTTGATGACACTTTCTTCGCTAAGTGGAGTGTCAGATTTTTTTTATTTTCCGCCTTCTTACATCAGTAAATGTCAGATCATTGATCAATGCACATAGAACGAGGGTTAGACAAATCACTTCAGAGTTTGTAATATAATTTCATGAAATATTGAAGAAAAAGCTTATGCTTCTTGAGAATAAATTGAAGGGATGAAATTTAACAAACGTTTTTATTGTATAATAAAATTTACTGCTATAAATTTCTTAGCGGTGCCACTTAAACCATCTGAAACCGTGGCGATACTGCTTTGACATTCTCTGACGACGGTTTATTATTTAAAGATTATTGACAATAAAGGAGAGGAAAGTTTAATTAATTTAAGTGAAATTGAGCTGAAAAAGTTGTCTACAATCATTAATTCAACCACTTCACATTTCGACAAACGACAGCAATAGATCTAATTTTGCGAATGAGTTTTTCCTTCTTAAGAATTTTGACCCCTGGCTGACTAACGATCTTGAAATCTTCTTTCTTTGTTTAGGGCTTATTAGATATCTGCATTGTTACGATTTTGAAAAAAGAAACAGATCCCCAAGCGAGTAATTTGGTTATTTGAATTGAATTTGCTCTTAAATAAAGCTTACTTTTGGAATTTTCCATTAAAGTACAATAAATTCGTTATTTATCTGTTGCTAAAATAACATTTGTGACTGAATGTCTAATTCAAGGAAAAAGCTTGAGTCGTGAATAAAAATAAAACCATAAAAATGTTACCATGTCAGTTTTATCTCGTCTAGGATTAATAAAAACTGCTGGAGATATTTTTTGTTATGATGCTATTGATTAGAATAAACAAATTTTTGTCAAAGATATTCCATGTGGAAGTCAAATTAGATATGTATCAACAAATTTATATAAACTATTTGCGTACAGAAACTTTAACGCGTCAACATTTTGTGAAGACTACAAAATGTCATTACCAGCAAATTCATTATTCGAAGTGTTAAATAATTATTTTTTTTTACTTCGATGTGTCTATTCAGTGTTAATTTATTATAAACTCACGAGAAGAATAACTTTTTCACTCATTGGAATGTCTAGAGAATTTTGTACATACATTTGTGTGCTAAAGCCTGTAATTGACGCGGCTATACGATGATAATTCCAACACAGCCAACTTGAATTTAATTTATTAAGAAAGCTCGTGGAACAATGTTAATAAAAACGATATTTTCGGCACAATTATATTAATTAACTAGAAAATATTTGAAATTAATTAACTCGATAGGTTAGACTCAAAGCTTTCATAAAATGAAACCACAAAAGTGCAGGTTCTCACTATCGTTATTTCCTGTCATTGTTGTCCCTCATCTCAGTTATTTTAAACAGTCAACAAAAATTGTTATACCTTCAAATTTTTGTGGAAACCTTTTGTTTAAATTTTATAACTCGAGGCTTACGTCGTTTATATTTATGTACTCAAATATCCTGAACCTAGCCTTGAACAATGTTCAAAAGTTCAAAAATTTGAATATTAAATTTGCGGGTTTGCTTTATAAAGCTTCGAGGAAAAAAATCACGAAAAAATATCCTCAACATTAAATTAGTACTTATCTAATTAAAGTTAAATTTTCCTAGATATTAATTCTTTGAAGATTATTCTCTTTTACAATTACAATTAAAAGCATTTTATATACAAAAGATCGCTTGTGGCACTAACAGATTTGACTAAATATTTAAACGGTTAAAGCCAAAGTGCTCAAATACATTTTTTAAAAAAGTTATTTAAAGACTTATTGGGTGGAGTGAAGATTCATTTGATATTTACACGCGAGTTTTCATTAATTTGGAATTCTGTTTTGTTGTATAATGAAGTACGTGACTGCTTGCTTATAATACCATCAATCAACTTGGGAAAAGGATAATAAAAGATTGTGCAGTTGAAGCTTTTCTAAAACTTTATGAAGACGACAAGGGTGGAACAAATCTCGTTCATGCGCCAATATCAAACCCCAATTGAATTATGAAATTCAAAACTTTCTGTCATTGTAAAACTTCGACAATTATGGAATATCCTCGTTCTTGATTTAAGCAAGGATATTTCGATTCAACATTGTATAAGTGTCGGAAATATCAGAAAATATTCTTACAACTCTCTGATTTCACTGAAGAATATCCCAACTAAAAATCAGCTAATAAAATCTTAGATTTATTATGTTTACAATAACATTCAAACTACTAACCTTTTAAGGAACTTCCTATAATTAAATGTAAACAGTCAACATAAATAGCAACTCCCAATTTAGATTAATGGTAATTTCTTTTGGGAATTGAATGAGATTTGTGAGAAAACATTCGTCACCAACTGTTTGTAAAATGAAATTCTGCTGGTATTCAGAGAAACTATGTAAATTATCGCAAGTAAATATTTTGAATATTCACTGCCAGCTATTAATATTCTACACCACTTATCACTTTAACATTGTATTGTATTGTATTTGGTTTATTTACCGATTGGTTTCGTTATTCCTTGATTACATTAAATGTTTAATTTAGCATATTCACTAACATATACTCTAAAACTTTTTTTGGATCTTTCAAAATCTTTTTTAAAATTGTTAAACATTTTCAATCCCTTATAGAATAAAGAAGCTTGAGTAATATTTTTTTTAAAATTTGGGATCGTAAATGCTGAATTATTTCTCAAGGATTTATGGTGGACATCATTTCTTATTTTCAACTTATCGTCAAAATATTTTGGAAGCATACCTCTCATTAGTTTATTAAAAAAACATAAAACGATTATTAACCTTTTGTTTTTTCAAAAATTTCTTCCTGCTTTTTAGATGGAAATATTCAAGGCTAACAGAAGGTGCCGTTAGAAATAATGAATATTGTTAACCAAACCAAATTAAAACAGCTTAGAGTGGTAATTGAGATTTTTACAGCATGGATGTAAACAAACTTCCAATTAAAATTATGCAGTGTTTATTTTTAGATTTAAAAATACATAAGTATCAATAATTTATGTATTAATTACATTTGCCTTAGCATACTTCGCAGTTAACAAAATTATTTCTTGTAATTTAACTTCAGAATATCTTTTTATGAATGCAACAAAACACTTCAATCCTCTTAGAACACTTTCGCAGAACTAAGCCATTTAAAAGAAGAAAATAATAAACTGACATCAAAAGCTCTTACAACTTGTTGACAACATTACAAAAGAGATTGAAGTCTCTCCACGAGCTCTCAATTTTCTCTCGTCAAACGACAATCGTTCCACGTGTTGGCACGATGATGAGCGAAAACATACCAGAAAAATGAATCCCTTAAGGTGATGAAAAAATATGCGATTCAAGAGCCACATAACATTGATGAAAAGTGATTACATTAAAGCGTTACATTTATTTGCATGTAATATGCTGTTTGTGTAGGACACATGCTTTTGATTGCGAAGCCTCTCATCGCTTTTCAAATCATTTCCAATAAACATTACTTCCATTTCCATCTACTTATTGTTTTTAAAGCCTCCATTAGCATCCATTTTCTACGTAAATAAATAATTCTGAATAAGAAACATTTTCTTCCTTCGTTCTGTTTTTCTTCTTTGTTTAAATATTTATTATTATAAATTCTTAAGTGTTTGATTGAAGTTTATTTTAAATCTTTAAATAAAATATGAATGTAGATTTTATGACTTCAACTGCTTGTTGCGATTTCAATCTATAATCTGAATGTTTTTGTTTCAATTTACATTGGATATTGGTGTCCACAAGTGCTCACTGCTTGTGGTTTAAGCGGAGCGTCAAAACAGATTAGTGGTGAATCTTCAGTTTCTGGGTTCCATAATTGGAATAGTTCGTATAGTTGAGGTTTATATTGACATAAAGTTCTGGTTCATCTGGACGAGGATGATATGGAGAATTGTAAGTAAAATAATGTTATGTTTGTGGATCTTAATGTCCACTCAATGGCAATTTATGGTTCAACCGACTGAGCGAACATATGTTTTATGCTGCTTGATGCAAAACTTCAACCAAATTTATACGAACTTAAAAATTTAACATTCTTGGCAAGAGTTGGGATTTGACTGACTGACTGACAGACATTGACATGTCAGTCAGTCAGTCAATCGACTTGGGCGGAACATTTGTATGAACGTTTCCCAACTGAAAAGTCCAAAGATGCGAAAAAATTTGGACGGACAGACATTTTTAAACTAGAGTTTTTAAACTTAAAAACAAGCAAAATATCATTTATGCTTTAAGAATATCATGATTATGATAAAGATTATTAATAAAGAAATCAATTTTTTAATTCTATTATAGAAAGAAAAAGTTTTTTCAAAACTATTTTATAATATAAAATTCAAAAATACTTCAGTGATTTATCACAACTTTTTGTGATTAATCACAAGATTTTAAACATTTGTATAGTGATTAATCACAAAAAGTTTAAGTGATTAACACAAGTGTCAGTCGGTCAAATCACAACTTCATTGAAGTCATATTGACGTATGAAGTATTATTATATCGCAAAAAGAATCTTTGCTTCATTTTGATGGCTGTGATATTGTGATATTGACATTTTGACAGTCAGTCAATGTCTGTCAGTCAGTCAGTCAATCGAGTTGGGCGTGCAATTTGCCCATCTCTGATTCTTGCTGTGACTTTAATGTTACACAATGTTTCATTTTCATCTTTCTTTTTTCATTTTATCTCAGACAAACGTTTTTTGTTTTTATTGTCTTCTTTTCATATTATTAATATATCAAGCTTCAATATTTTATATTTCTAAACCAATTTCAACTTTTTAGAAACAGAAAATTTAATCAATAATCTTTACATTTGAATGTCAACATCAAAATTATAAAATTTAACTGGTTAAATGATATCCTTTGAAGATATTATCCTCGAAATCTATGTTATCAAAATTGTTTAATGCTGTTTCGTTTATGTATCCAAAAGTCCATTTTTGTGAAATATCTTCAAAGAATTGCATAATGAGTTTAAAATAAATTTCTATTCAAATAGTTTCGCATACCTGAAGCGTTACATGCTTGCATGCTTAGAATTCCATTGTTTGATGAGAAACCTAAAGTTGATGCACATTTTCCGTTCTCTTTATCCAAACTTATAAGTTGCTTAGTGTTCATATCATAATTCCAATTCTGATAGTCGCTTTCCTTATCATAAGCGCATTTTTTATTTTCTTTGTTGTCTAATGACATTGATGAAGGCATTGCACAATTTAGAGTATTCCTGAAAATTCATGTGATAATCAAAGCCCTTGATTTCAATCAATCATACCATAATCTCAGCTTTTTATGCCATGTGAATGTGAAATGTTGGTTCCTATTGTTTGGCTTTTGAAGATCATCGCTCGCACATTTCAATAATTTCACTTTACCGTCCCCATATTCCATGCATAAATCAGGATGTTCATTACTTCTTATTGCTCCAAAAGCAAAAAATCCTGGATACTGAAATTATAATAAATTAATCTGAAGTTTTTTAACTGTAATTAATAATGTACATCACGTTGAAAGAAAAATTGTGTGTACATCTCTGGACAAATTTCTTCCAAAAAATATTGAAATGGTTTGCATCTTAGTTTCTCTCTAACATATTTTTGCTTTGTTAAATCACCAGGATCAACGTTGAATCTTTCGGGATTAGCATCATACATGATTTGCTGAAGTTAAAAACATGCGTGAAAGACGAGAAAATATCATTGATGAAATAATTAAACTTACTTTGTAATCGTCTAGCCAAACTTCTGCAACTCTCTTGAAATTACGAGCGGTAGGGTCAGCTCCAGCTAATTTGTGACTTTTTGTAATAGTTTTGAAGAAGTGACTGACTCTCGAACAAGGAACCTGAACTAAATTTCCACCACATAAATGAAGTTTCAATGATAGTTCTATTTGCTCTCCATTCCAAATCTCTAACCCTTCATCATACATGCCGAGATCTTGAAAATAATCTCGTCTAATAGCAAACGCGCAACCTAACATGACTGGCACCTAGAAACGCGTAACAGGGTTATTGTTATCAACTTTATTGATATTGTCTCGCCTCTCTCTTGTATTTGAACACATGGTACAAAAATTTTGGAGAACATTAATACATTAATGATCAAGTTGTTCAAACACAAAAAAAGTTTAATGAGTCTTTGACTTTATGATAAGTTCATGTTCGTTTGTTAACTGACCTGATAGGGTCGATCAAATTTATTTGAATCTTCTGGCCTAATATCAAACCTGATAAAAATAATTTGATGGTTCATAATTTATAATCACTTCAAAAAATTAAAAGTTTATTAAAATATAAAAATCAACCTACCAAATATACCACATTAATTCATCAAAAAAACCTCGAAATGGTCGACCGCCGTGATAATTAAGATCTTCTCTACTAACAGTATCAATTGTAGGTAATGTACAGGTTGTAGGTGAAATTGCAATTGGCTCTAAAAAAACATGAATTATTGTAAAGAATTATTCACTAACACAATCAACAACCTAGAAGTGGTGGCAGCCAGTTCGTATTAACTTCCATATGGGCATCAAGAAAAATTACAACTTCACTAGTCGCACGTTTAAATCCTTCCATACGTGTAACTATTAATCCTTTACGTCCTTCAAGCCGAACAAGCTTAACACGATCATCAAAATTTTCCCTTAAGTGATTTTCAAAATCTTCTTTGAGTTCTGGTCTTGTGCTGCTGTCGTCAACCAAAATAATTTCCTTTAAAAGTTCTCGAGGTGATCGGTCATAAACTGAAAAAACTGTACGTAACACAATGCTTGGATATTCGTTATGAAAAATAATGATGACGGATGCAGTTGGAAGTCTCTTTAAATATTGTTTCATCATACAGGATTTTGGTCTCGTATCAGGAACCGAGCGATTCAATGCAATCATATCACTTATTAATGCACTGAAGCCTTCTTGCTTCCTTAATTGCTTGTTCTTTTCAATTTCATTTGGATCAGTTAAGACAACTGCTGCACCTTGTTCACCGAGACCTGTTCTTTGAGCTTCCTTTTTCATAAATTCATAATCGTGCCAATCTTTTCTATCATACACCAACTCCATAGGATATTTCTTACATTCTCCTACACCATATAAATCAAAATGGAATTTCTTAAAATTATTGAAGTTTTCATGCTCCACTTTTTCGCGATTTATCATTACATATATAAAAGAAAATATTAAAGCAAGAACTACAATATTACTAACTCTTCTGTTAAGAGAAAAATTCACAGGTCTTAACCCTTTCATTGTTAGAAGTTAAATGATGTTGAGAAATATTTTCGTTTTTGTAGCATCAGCAAAAATTAACTAGAGTAGAACACTAGAAAAATAATATATTTTGAACTTCTCCACATAAGCTTCTTGCTTCTTTTGATCACTGTAAGGGTCAAATCCTTCACAAAATTTTTTTCGAACCTACAACTTAATGATTAGACTACATGGCTTTTATTTTTATAAAATTTAAAATAAAAACTCATTAATTAATGGAAAACTAAGTAGAGTAAACGAAAAAGATATTATAGCAAATGATCAAATGTGACCCTAGATCAATTGTGCCCAGTGTTAAGTGTGGCCATTTAATTCGTTGATTTTCAGCCTCAAAAATTTAGTTTTTCAAAAAAAAAATACATAGCTGTTGGAAATTTTGTGAATTTTTATTAGGCTACTCACTGAGCCTTTAAATGAGTTCAATTTTGCACAATAGTTTAATTTATTTCATCAAAAAAATTCTCTTCAGAAAACACCATCATCATCATCTTCAGATCAAGGACAGGCCCAAATAGGCCATATAGGAGTATAGATATTTTTTAACCGGTATTTTTAAGATTTCGGTTAACCTAGTAACCGAAACAAAGAAACTCGGTTAACCTACGGTTAACCGAAACCTTAAAATAGAGATAAAAATTTGATTTTTCAGCATAAAAAATTAAAAAGAATGCTTAATATGCATATTTCCACTCTTTCCCTAGTACATTTATTGCACTTTGCTTGCTTCTGATTCAAAAATTATGCAAAAACTTCAAAAAAAAGATTTTTTGGGTTTTAGTATCTTTGAGTTAAATATTTAGACAATTTTATAAAAATAAATTATTTTTAAAAGAAAGAATGCATATTACTAAACTTTAATTCGTTTTTATTCAAGAATAATCAAAAAACGAGACAATTTGTGAAAAAAAAAATTTAATAGGAGTAAATTTCGCTAATTTCGGTTATTTTTTGGTTAACCGATAGAAATCTCGGTTAACCTAGTACTCGAATAACCGAAAAAAACAGCCGGTTATCGGTTCTCGGTTATCGGTTCTCGGTTATCGGTTTTGATATCTATATATAGGAGCCACCATCAAATGCCATAAGCATTTGAGGGCAATGGTCATAAGTGGCTCGTGAAAATGACAACACTACTCAATTTCAGTGAAATTATTTTGTGCTGATTATTCACTACCGACCGTTTTGCTCCATCCAAGGTCCTTCAGAAAACACCACTTTTTCCTTTCACTTCAATTTATCAAGATGCAAAAAAGTGCATTAGTTTAAGTTTCAGTTTTTCAGTTTATTCAATTCTCGTATGATGAAAGTTCAAGTTGTAATTTTATCTGTAAAGATAAATCAATTTTTGATACATTTCATTTTTTAAAATCCTAATAGGGAAAAAATCCCGAATAGAAAAAATGTATAGACCTTAAAGTCAAAATTTGAAAAACTGGTCATTTCATGATTCTTTACTCTACTTTATTACATTTTCAAGTAAACTCTACTTCTGTCTGTATTACAATTATTTTTTTAGCTTAAACGACGAGACATGCCAAACCATTAAACAAATAACTACTAATGATGAATTAATTTTTACGGAAGCCCCGCCCTAGCGCGTGAAGGCTTCGCGTCTGAATGTTTATAGACACTGTTTTTTCCACATTTCTTGATCAATTTGGAAAATCTCTTCACCAATGTTTTTCACATGTAATGTGGCGAAAATGGTTCCAGAGAGCTAAGAAAAAAAAACTTTGTGTAATTCAGAATAGTCAGACATCAAGTGAGTAGAACGTTCTTTCAAAGTAAAAAAGTTGCTTACCGAGAATCGATCACAAGATTAATTATCGTGATTCTTAAATCTGTTGCATTAATAGAATTTCAAGACTTATACTGTTTTTCTTGAAATTCTATTAATGCCAGAGTTTTAACTATCGCTCTTGATCGATTTTTCATGCCCAGATATTGTGAGAAAACAGATGAACCAACTCAGGTGGCAAGTCAGCTGACGAATCAAAATAATGGATTTGTGCAAACACAACCAGGTGTTTTTCCACTACTTACACCTATCATCAACAACTGTGGCAAGGGCAAAAAGAAGAAATCGGTCAAGTTTCTGACTTATGTTGAGGTGAGAAATAAAACTTTGACTTTATTTTCATTCGAAAAGGAATAAGAAAACGTCAAAATTATTTATTAAATGTACATGCGATGCAAGCAAATCTTAAGAATCTTCTAGAGCGTTGTCAAATTAAAAAAAAAGATTTTTTCCCCCCTTTAATATTCCATTCAAATCGTAAATCGAATTTTGAATGAAAAACAAAGAAATCTTCATTTGAATTGCATTTACATTACTCGAGATATTTCATGAATGAAACTCAGACTGGTTGATTGTCGTTGTCGAACTATATCGTGAGTTGCGAGTGAATTTATTCGCAAGTCAAAGTGTGATGACTTGATGGCTAAAGATAGAGACCTGTTACAGTTAAGGCTTGTAAGGCTTAAGACAATTATTTCACTATCACAATTTTCATATTAATATCGTTCTTTCCAACGACATTCTTGTAAGGTCTGTTCACAGCAAACAATACGTTTGCAGATGATGCAATGAAATAAGTTGTTATAAGTAAAACAGACGCCAATTTTTATTTATCTTCATAAAATTTGAGCAGATGAGACTTAATACTTGTAACTATTTATGTAACTACAGCCTGTAAAAATTTTATAAATTGCACAGCATCGTAACGGGATCATTTTTATGTTAGGTATGTACCTAATTATTCTTATTATGAAATTTTTTGGAATTGTAAGCGATACAATTTACCAATAGCTTTTAGTAAATATCTAGGTATTTATACAAATAATTGTTGTATTTAGTCATGACCTACACTAACAATTTTGTTTCGATTTCACTGCATTTACTTCACTTGCAAATCTTTTCTAATTATTGTTTATCCAGATTATATAAAAGCTTTCCTCACTTCATATGAAATATTATAAATAATTCAATTAATTAATTCCATAATAATCAATACAATTAAAACATGAAGATATTTCATTAAGATTTGATGAATTATAATAGAAATAGGAAACAAATTATAAGAATTTTGATAACATTATTCGATTGAATTCAATCCCTTGATATCATGAATTGTACTTTAAGAGCAATGAAATAAAAAGCTATTAAGATTCTTAATAACAATTCCATACCATGTGTAAAATTTTCTTTGTGTGTCAATGTTTTATAACATCGAACATTTTAAAATGAAAAGAAATTTTGTTCTAACTCCATGTTCAAAGAATGAGTCAGTAATATCGTTTAATTTTTCTAAAAGGAAGAAAACCATGTCACGATTCATGAAATTATTTTTTCCACTTTTCACTACAAAATCAAAATGAAGAAAAAAGTTTTCGTGAAAAGGTTTCAATGAAATTGAGTAATGTTGTCATTTTCACGTGCCCTTATGCGACCATTGCCCTCAAATCCTTCGGCTTTTGATGGTGGTTCCTATATATGGCCAGGATTGGCCTATAGGTGCCTGTCCTTGATCTGATGATGATGATGATGAAGTTTTCGTGATAGAAATGATCAATTCTGTGTATCGTTCACTAAACTCTTTAAAATGAATTCACAACGTGTGCAAACGTGCTCTGACGATATCTTGGAATGATGGATTTCATGATAATATTATTTAAAAATCTAAATTCTAGAAATAGTTTACAAAAAATGAACAATCATATTAAAAGGAAATATTGCAGATATAGATATCCTGAAATGACAGTCTAGATGTCTAGTTTTTTATCGTTTTATTCAAGGTTTTACTCCATTTAAAAGCAAGAGCATCAATAAAAATGTAATCTTATAGAGATTGATATTGCATACGTAATGTAGATATTTTAAATATACAAAGCTCAATTCACGCACATGTACATTCAACGGCATTTTCAAAAAGAAAAAAGCTTTCAATGAGCTTTATGGAACTCTCCAAAATTTGTAGAATTTTTGTTTCACTTTCCATGTTTTGATATAAAAAGTTCGCGCCAAAAACCTTTGAAAGATTTTATTGAAAAAAGGTAGAATAATTAAAATTAGCGATGTTTAAGAGGAATCAGCAACCTTATCAGCGGCAACCATGGGCACAACAACAGTATGGGTAGGAATTTAATGGAATAAGTACAAGGTTGATGTTTTATTAATAATAATTACCAAATTTTAAAGAAATTCTTCTGGTGGTGGCTATTCAGACGATATCACTAAATCAAACGAAGCCAGCTATAAAGTATCTCGTGAAAATGATGCAATTGATTCTAAATATGGATTTGATAGAGTTAAAGATGGAAATGAGAGAACAGGATTTCTCATTAATATTCATTCGGTAACATTCTTCAATCGAAAATCAAAAACAAAATTAATTTAATTTAACAAATTTTCAGACTGAAGTTCTTGATGCTGATCGACGTTTAGTGTCAGCATTAGATCTTTACTTTCTCACAATGAACGCTTCTAGATTTAAAGTCTCGGTCATTTATCAACCGTACTTTCTTGTTCTCCCTCAACAACATCAACTTCATGAAGTGATGACATTTCTTCAACGAAAATTTGGTGGTCAAGCAGCCAAAATCGAAGCAGTTGTGAAAGAAGATCTCGACAAGCCAAATCATATCATTGGATTAAAACAAAACATGATCAAGATGTCTTTTACAAACACAAATATGATGAACAAAGTTCGTCTTGAAATCAATCGCGTAGTCAAGAAGAACAAAGAACGTGAGAAGACAAACACTTTCTACATGAAACTCCTTTCAACCACACTCGCAGGATCTTCAAACAATGAACAAAATCCCGACTTTATGGACTTCATAATGGATATTCGAGAACATGACGTTCCTTATCACGTTCGTGTTTCAATTGATCTTCAAATATTTTGTGGACTTTGGTACAATATAAAATGTCTTGGAAGCACAGAACGGCCATTAATTACACAACGTCCTGATATCATTGAACGTCCTGATCCAATTGTCCTCGCATATGATATCGAAACAACTAAATTACCTTTAAAATTTCCCGATGCTCAATCAGATCAGATTATGATGATTTCTTACATGATTGATGGACAAGGATATTTAATTACGAATCGTGAGATTGTCTCATGTAATGTCAACGATTTCGAATACACACCAAAGCCTGAATTTGAAGGAAATTTTATCGTCTTCAACGAACCAAATGAAGTCGCGTTAATTCAGAAATTCTTCGATCATATTCTCGACATTCGTCCACATATTATTGTGAGCTATAATGGAGACTTCTTCGATTGGCCTTTCTTAGAAACAAGAGCAGCAATTTATGACATTGATATGAAGCGAGAAATTGGATTTGTTAAGAACCGAGAAGGAAATTATTTGTCACGTCCTTGCATGCATATGGATTGTCTTTGTTGGGTAAAACGTGACTCTTATCTACCAGTTGGATCACAAGGTTTAAAAGCAGTTGCTAAAGCAAAACTTCGTTACGATCCTGTTGAATTGGATCCTGAAGAAATGTGCAAGAAAGCTGTCGAACATCCACAAGAGTTGGCAAGTTATTCAGTGTCAGATGCAGTTGCAACTTATTACCTTTACATGAAGTACATTCATCCATTTATCTTTGCATTGGCAACAATCATTCCGATGGAACCTGACGAAGTTTTGAGAAAAGGTTCAGGAACGTTATGCGAGTCATTGTTGATGAAAGAAGCTTTTCATGTTAACATCGTTTTTCCCAATAAGGAACAAGCGGAGCTCAATAAAATGACTGAAGATGGTCACGTTCTTGACACTGAAACATATGTTGGTGGACATGTTGAAGCATTAGAATCGGGCGTTTTTCGAGCTGATCTTCCATATCGATTTCGATTAGATTGTGAAATGATAACAAAACTTCAAAATGAAGTTTCTCACGTTCTTAAACATTCTCTCGAAGTTGAAGAAAATATTCCACTAAGTGAGGTTCAAAATCTCGATGATGTTATAAAGCAAATTCAAGACGCTCTTCAAGCACTTCATGATAATCCTGTGAGAATGGAGAAACCAGTAATTTATCATCTTGATGTTGGTGCAATGTATCCGAATATTATACTTACAAATCGTCTTCAACCTTCAGCGATGGTCACTGAACAAGATTGTGCTGCTTGTGATTTTAACAAACCTGATGCAAAATGTAAGCGAAAGATGGATTGGCTGTGGCGTGGTGAAATGCTGCCAGCAACGAGAAGGTAAATGAGAAAAATTTCAAATTTTTCCGTTAAATATTTCCAAAAGTAGCACTTAATGAGGAACCCATCGAATAAAATGATTTTTTATTTAAATTTCCTTTATTTAGTGAATTTCAACGAATCCAACAACAACTGGAAACAGAAAAGTTTCCACCACTTTATCCCGATGGTCCCACAAGAGCTTTTCACGAACTTTCACGTGAAGATAGCGCAGCTTTCGAAAAGAAACGTCTCACTGATTATTGTCGTAAAGCTTACAAGAAGACAAAAGTCACAAAATTAGAAACGAAAACATCAACAATTTGTCAAATGGAAAACAGCTTTTATGTTGATACTGTCCGAGCTTTTCGTGATCGTCGGTATGAATATAAAGGAATGACGAAAGTCGCAAAAGCTGATGTTGTTAAAGCTGTAAAATCTGGTGATGCTGGTGAGATCAAAGCTGCTAAAGGACGTGAAGTTCTTTTTGATTCACTTCAACTTGCACATAAATGTATTTTGAATTCTTTCTACGGTTATGTAATGAGACGCGGTGCACGATGGCATAGCATGCAAATGGGTGGAATTGTTTGTCTCACAGGCTCAAATATTATCACCAAAGCGAGAGAAGTAATTGAGAAGGTTGGACGACCATTGGAACTTGACACTGATGGTATTTGGTGCATTCTGCCTGGAACTTTCCCACAAGACTTTGAAGTGTTGACAAATCTTCCGAAGAAAAGTAAAATCACTGTAAGTTATCCAAATGCTGTGTTGAATACAATGGTGAAAGATCATTTCACAAACGATCAATACCACAAGCTTGAAAAATCAGCTGGTGAGAACGGAGAACTTCCAGAATATTCAATTCATCAAGAAAATTCAATTTTCTTTGAAGTTGATGGACCTTACTTGGCAATGGTGTTACCAGCCGCAAAAGAAGAAGGAAAGAAGTTGAAGAAACGTTATGCAGTGTTCAACTTTGATGGATCTTTAGCTGAACTTAAAGGTTTTGAGATTAAACGACGTGGTGAACTTCAATTAATTAAAATCTTCCAATCGCAAGTCTTCAACGCTTTTCTTCAAGGCAATACACTTGAGAAATGTTACGAATGTGTTGCAAAAGTCGCCAATTATTGGCTTGATGTATTGTTTAGCAAAGGCGCTAATATGCCTGATTCAGAACTCTTCGAACTCATCTCAGAGAATCGTTCAATGTCACGAAAACTTGAAGACTATGGCGTTCAAAAATCGACATCAATTTCAACAGCAAAACGTCTTGCTGAGTTCTTAGGTGATCAAATGGTGAAAGATGCTGGCCTTGCATGTAAATATATCATCAGTCGAAAGCCAGAAGGTGCACCTGTCACTGAACGTGCAATTCCATTGGCGATCTTTCAATCGGAGTCAGCTGTTCGTCGTCATCATCTTCGAAGATGGTTGAAAGATTCAAGTATTGATGGCGATGTTGATATTCGTGATATTCTCGATTGGAATTATTACATCGAACGAATTGGTGGTGCAATTCAAAAGATCATCACAATCCCAGCAGCTTTGCAAGGCATCAGCAATCCAGTGCCACGAGTTCAACATCCAGATTGGCTTCATAAGAAAATGCTTGAGAAAAATGACGTTTTTAAGCAAAGAAGAATCAACGACATGTTCAAAGCGAAACCAATTCGCGATATTGAAGACACTGTTGGAAGTTCATCAACCGCTGGTGGCATTCCAATCGTCACAACGAAAAGAAAACGAACAAGAACAGAATGTGAAGAAGAAAATCAACAACAACAGCCGAAAACATGGCGTGAAGCTTTAGGAAATCCGCCAGAGATTGGAACGACGAAAGAAGAATTAATTGAATGGATAAAGTTTCAGAAGAAGAAATGGCGATGGCAGATTGAAAGTCGAAAGAAATTTCGTAGTGATGTTGGAAATAAACGAGGACGTCATGACGTTCCTTTGATGGAAGTTCCAGCACAACGCGGTCCAATTTCATCACTCGGTGGATTCCTTAAACGAACACAAAGAAATCTTATTGAACTTCCATGGCAAATCATTCAAATCGTTGCAATTGATCAAGATGGAAACTTCAATGTTTGGGCTTTGATCGGCGATGAATTGCAGAAATTGAAACTTGTTGTGCCGAGAATTTTTTATGTAAATCAAAGAACATTAGCGCCGTTGTGTGACGATTTAACGAGTGACGTAACATGGAAGAAAGTTAACCGAACTCTTCCAAGATCACGTCCAACTTATAATCTTTATCAATACAACGTCCCTGAACATGTTTTTCGTGACAATCAACTTGGAATGCTTGTTGATCTTGCAGCACCTGACATTGAAGGCATTTACGAGACACAATTGAGTCTTGAATTTCGTGCACTTATCCAACTTGGATGCACGTGTGCTGTGCAAAGATCAGAAGCGAAGAAAATCGCTTCAATTCCAAGTGGACATGGTCAAGGTGACACATTTTCACTTCATCAGCTTGAACAACGAAGTCAAATTCATCAACCATACTTGAAAGATGCTGAAAAGTTGCGTCGAATCTTTTTATATCAACACACAATTCCATCAGGTAAGAAGAGCTTGTGGGGATTGTTCTTGACGCCAATGAAGAAAGCAATCATCATCGTTCATGATTCTGTTCGAAATAATCAAATGCCAACAATGAAGAATCTTTATCAGATTGAACGACAAGCTTTAATTGCTGATAATGACGATGACGAAAGTGAGAAACTTCCACCGAATGACATTTCGTTTGATGTTCATGTTGAGATTGACATCAAGCAAGTTTATCGGCACATTCAAAAAGCTTTGTCAGCTTACAAACAAGAACGACGTGGACCAACAATTCTTTGTATTCAATCAGCGACAGCAATTAATCAATTAAATGTTGCAATTCCAACTTTACTTGATTTCCCTCAGACAAAGTTTCACATAACCGACGATGCTTCATTACTTGTTGGACTTGAGTGGCAGAAAAACGGCGTCAAGTCAATGATTCGTCACTACTTGAATCATCAACGTGTTCTTGATTTAATGTTAGAGCAATGTCGATATTTCCATTTGCCAATTGGTAACATGACAAGCAACACGGTTCTATTTGGCGCTGATTTATTTTACGCTCGTCATTTACAAAAGAATAATTTTGTGTTGTGGTGGTCGCCAAATTGTCGGCCAGATCTTGGTGGAACGGAAACTGACGACAACACGTTGTTGAGTGAATTTGATGATAACAAAATAATTCAGCAATGTAAATCTGGTTTCTTTCCGAATGTTTGTGTTGAGCTTACGATTGACAGTTTGGCAGTTTCTTCTCTTCTTCAAAGTCATCGCATTCAAGAGATGGAAGGCGCAAATTCAGCGATAACATTCGACACAATACCACAAGCTTCACTTGATGATATGATAACAAATCCAAATTTATTGCAAATGCTTCCAAGTTATGATGAGACAGCGCTTTGTTCAGCTGCTTTCCGCATCATGAGGTCAATGGTCGGCGGATGGATGCGTGAAGTTTCTGTCAATCGAAACGTTTACAGCGATTTTCAAATTGTTCACTTTTATCGTTGGATTCGATCATCAACTTCATATCTTTATGATCCAGCACTTCGTCGATCATTAAACACTTTAATGAAGAAACTTTTCCTTCAACTAATCTCGGAGTTTAAGAATCTTGGCGTTGACATTATTTATGCTGATTTCACGAAAATTATCATTAATAGTGGAAAGAAATCAGTTATTGATGGAATAAGTTACGCTGATTACATTTGCCAAAGTATTCGTGGTAAAGAATTATTTCATTCGGTTCATTTATCGTACCAACAATGTTGGAATTTTCTTCTTTGGATGGATTCATTTAATTATTCCGGTTTTCGTGGAAAACTTCCGAAAGAATTAAGAAATGATGAAGATGAGGAGGAAGTGGAAGAGACGGAAGATGTTAATGAAGAAGATGAACTGGACATGAATTGGAATATTTGTGAGAATTTACCACAAGAAGGTGAAACAAGTCGACGACTTGAAGCTTTTCTTAAAATGTACATCAATGAACTTGCAAAAGGCGAAGAAGCATCGAAAACATTGAAAAATTTATCGCATCATGCTTTTGAGACTGTTTTGAAGTTATATCAAACAACTGGACGACAATCAGAAGGACCAGCGACAGAATTCATCAAAGCTTTGTGTAAAATTCTTTCAGTTGATCCATCGATTAATGACGAACTTGATTCGTTGAGGAAAAATATGCTTCGATTAGTAGGACTTGGAGAATTCTCAGACAAAGCTGTTTGGAAGGATCCTGGAAAATCTTACGTTCTTTCAGAAATGATTTGTCAAGCTTGTTATCATTGCCGTGATGTTGATTTGTTGAGAGACAAACATCGTGCGATTAAAGATGGAAATCCAGTTTGGTTGTGCTCGCAATGTTTGATGAATTATGACAACGATGAAATTGAGAATCGATTGATTGACGCAATAAATCGTCGATTGATGTCGTACACTTTGCAAGATCTTCAATGTGTCCGATGTAAGGAAATTAAACAAGACAACATCATCGAGAATTGTTCGTGTGCTGGACGCTTCACAACATTAATCAAACCAGAAGAAATTCGGAATCTTATCAAAACTTTTAATCATGTCGCAGATACTTATTCAATGGTTTTACTAAAGGAACATACTGATTCATTAATCAACAATATTTAAATTTATAAACTTCTGTAACAAAAAACTTTCAATTAAAAAATTTGTTTTTCTTATTTCAACTAAAGAATTATTTTTTGCTTCTTCTTTTTTCTTTTAATTAAACTTTCAGAACACAAAACATAATTTACTGTTCGCTGTTAATTGGGTCGATTTTTGGTTCCTCGAATTTAAATTCTGGGAATTTAGTCATGTCAACGCCTGAACCGCCACCGTATTGACTTGACAGCTTATCAAGTTCTTGCTGCAATTCACGATTAATTTCTGGTGTTGGATCGACTAATGAACCTCCGCTAAAAGTATATTTATTAAAATAAATTCACTGAACAACTCTAAAGATTTTTTCTTACACGCTCTTGGATTTGTATTCTCGAAGTTTATCAAGGAAGAGTTGCTGAACTGGATCTGAAGCTTTTTGAAGTGCTGGAGCGGCAATCCCAAAGTTGCGACGAGCAATTGTGCGAGCACTACGCATGCCAGATAATAAGTGTGAAGTCAACATAGTTCCTAAAATGAATAAGATTTAAATAAGTTCTTCCAGTGATTTGGTTATTGGTTTACGAAAAATTGATTGTGTAACAAGCAAGGAAAAATTTTCATTTGCATATATTTTCGTTTCCAGAAACACTTTGTAAATATCGAATTGATTTCAATATTCAGAATCCACATTTAATAATCTTACACTTTTTAAACTACTCATTAAGTTTATTTACCTGCTGTTTGAGTCCAAAAACACTTCTAAAGAATTGATTTTTTTCTGGTGTTGCTTAGCCGATTATGTTTCACTTTCCAATAAATTCAGGGCTTGGTAGAAATATTTCAGTTTGTGAACAATAATTCAAATTCATTTAAGTCGTTACATTTATTAAAATATCGTAACTTAATTTTCAACATAAGAATAGAATTTGATGTGATGAAAGATAAATTAATACATTCATTAACTAGAAAGCAAAAGTTATTAATAGAACTGAAGAAATTTCAATGAATACTTTTACAGTTGTAATTATATACCTGCGTGGATTGCTTCCTTTTTTTTTATTAACATTCTTATCAAATTCAATTAAATTATGATGGAAAAGGGTCAAAGTCGAAATGTTTTTCATTCAAGATAGAAATATTTGGCGTACATACTTTCAAAAATAAAAAAATATATATAAAGTAGGCACGCGAGGAATAATTTTGAGCATACATTATTAAAATTTAGATATTTTTTTTGTTAATCAAACTAAATAAAATTTATCAAGTTCAATATCAAGAAGATTATTCTTTCCTAAAACATATTTAAAACTTCTTCTGTAGAAGTCGCACATGTGTCACTTAATGAAGTAAATCACATCTCTTTAGTTTTTTTTAAATCCATTTCTGATAAGAAAAAAATACTGAATTGTTACACCAGTTTACATTTTAAGAATAAAGAAATAGAAATATGTATGTTATCAGAATACAAACCGTATCTCTAACGTCTCTCGCGTTAAATCAATCTCATACATAAAATAAAGTCATTTCTTATTTTATTTATCAACAAAATTATTTTTTCATTCTCTTACATACACGCATACTCAGCGAATTCATTCATAAATCTACAAAAACTGGTTTATGAATGAATCGTTTAATGTACAAATACAACTTTATAAAACATTTCATTTAAACATGCTGATCACATTGCTGACTTCGACACTTTGATATCGAGAACATTTGTTTAGAGACTATCTCACTTCATATATTCACCAAACATTAATTTAATGATCTCAGTTAAAAATTCAAAACCTCGAATAGTGTTGAAGTCACGATCACTTCAATTGTAACAGTCTCGCTTTATCATCAGCCATCATACATACAAACAAATGTTACTCGGCTGTTGCTTTGCTCTCTTATTCTATACGATTTACTTTAAAAATGATTTTCTACTTCATTCTTGCTTCAGAGGTGCTGTAAGACGTTACAAACTTGCTCACGAGAATAAAATATATAAACCGATCGTTGGAAACGAAGCTGAGTTCTTCATAAAAAAATTGTTTATTTACAATCGTGTGCTAAACATTCACAAAACCGATATTACATGAACTTTTGTGCATATTAAGCTGCAATTATTTAAGTCTTTAAAACAACAGATCGTGTGAATAATAAACTATCGAGTGGTTAACAATTTTAATAAAAAAAAAAACAAACGCTTAACAAGAAAGTGATTCATCTCATTTATAGCTGTGCGATAATTGGTTTGAAAAATAAAAATATAAAAAAATAATAAGAAAAACCGACGACTTTTGAATTTGATTAATTAATAATAATTGATTGCGGTCAAAGTGAATATTTCGTAAGATTTTTCTTGTCTCAACACGACACATTCGAGCGAAGAAAACAAATTCGAAACACTAGAAATTTTTTATAAGTACACATGTGATTATTTTCTTATGAATTAAAATTAGAAGCTCTTGGAAGAAAACAAAATATACGAAAAAAGAGTTATTGAATCGCTTGATCGTGAATAAGTGTTGGTGGGGCTCGAATTTTTATGAATGAAAAAAAAGTTTAAAATTATATGAAAAAGAGTTACAACAACTGAAGGAAAAAATCTCGTGGATCAGCATAAAAAGAATCAACAATCAGCATTTGCCTTTCTGATTTAAATTTAGAAAAAAAAGAAAAAAATCTTGAAGAGAATTTATTTCTTTTTTCTTTTATTCTGGCTGATTTTTTTTTGTCTCGTCTTTTGGGGGATTAACGACGACTTCTAGAGTATTTTGTGATTAACTTTATCTTTGTTTCTTTGGCATATACAGAAAGGTAAGAAAAATTTTGTATTTCTAATGTTAATTTGAATATATTTTGGCGTAAAAGGCCAACAATTTAATTTTTTAACGTCTTCGTTTTATCAACAACACCTTTTGATGATTAGAGTAACAGTCTGTAAAGGAAAAATGAAATAAAAATTTAAAATTAAATATTCCCCATTGAGAAAAAGAAATTTGACTTACAAATTTTAGCGACTCTTGAGTTTCTAGAAATGATTGGAAAATTCCACGTCCATTAAATACAAGATAAGAATATTTTGTGTTTTATGTCACAGACACGATGTGCAAAACTTGAAATAATATAATTTTGTATCATTTACATTTCGAAATATGTTCGCGAACCACTGCGAAGGTTTAACCATAATTTACACTTTTATTTTTCTCGTCTTTTTCTTTTTTCGTCAGTCAATAATGTTGAGAATGACGATCTTGTTTATTAATCGTAATGAAGCCAACAGAGTATTATAAATAGGAGATTTGCTTTATTTTTAAGAAGTTTCTTTTGAACTTGACTTTAATGACTCGACCGTTGATGAGTATATGAGAGAATCTTACGTAACAATTTCAAACTTCAAAGGGATTTCACTGTAACAGTTTTAAATAACAATATTTGTGGAAAAAGTTAAGCAAATAAGTATGGAAGAGAAGATGGAATTGAATAAAGAGTTTGAACAAAATGTAAATAAAGAAGCAGTCTAGAATCGAAAATAATAAGCGATCAGCGATTGAGAACTGATGACCCATCTGAATATCTCAGCATTTGCAGCTGCAATGTGCACAAATGCAAAAAATATCAAATCAAGAAAAAAAAATGACATCAACTAAATTTCATTAAAGTATTTCCACTGATTCGCAGAACGTCTGAGTGTGTTGGGTGATTAAGTTAATGTTGTTATCAGAATATATTTAATTAAAGAATTATATTTTTTACTCATTATGCTAATCTAGTTCATTACACTTTTGATTCTAAATTTAAGATTTTATCAGGACTCAAATAAATAAAAAAGGTCAAAGAACATTATATTGAATTCGCAAAATGTGTCGTCAGTTTCCAAGATTCTTCCGATCTCATCTTCCATTTCAAAACTTTCGTAATTTTATTTTTGAATAAAAGATAAATTCAGAGAGAGAATAATTCGCTGCTTCATTCAACAACTCTTTCTTCTTCTCATTTGTCGATTTATGAATGAAAACTTTTACGTTTGTATCGATTCAGCATAACAATGAAGTATTTTTGAAGATGACTTACAGAAACTGTTAAGAACATGGAAAGATCAGAGAATAGAAGAGAACAATGATGTAAAGCGGGACCAAAAAAAATATAAGAAAAGGAAGAAAACGTAATCTTTGACTAATTAGAAGCCAAGCCCATGAAAAATTTGTCACCATGAATGGATAAATTGAGATGCTGAAATCTTTTCTTTTTTTTGAGGATTTATTGTTTTATTTTGATGTTGTTATTGCACCTTAAGAGGGATCTTCTGAGGCTTATTTGTGCTTAACGTCGTCGACAACACTCGTTGTCATTATGTGATAAATATTCTGGAAAAACCCAAAACAAATCTGTGTCTATTTTTTAACGTAAATCTTCAAGACCATCAGAAATTTTAAATTAATAAAAATTTTTATTCTTTTGTCTTATCTTTCTCTTTTGCGCGGTATGATAAGACATTCTGCCAGTATTTTTCTTATCAATGAAATTATATCAACAAACTATAAACAACACAAAAATCCCATTTTCAAGAGGAGTGGATACTTTGAACATTGTTTCATCAAGATTTCACTTTAATTTTTTATTGTCTAATCCACACGGATTATTTTTCTCGAACATTCACGAAACTAATCTTGACTTGACCAGCTTGTTTCAAAAAACAAAAATCAATTTAGTTCCCATGAAACATGAAGAGTCTCCTTCAACCGAAACGCAATCGATATCCGAAAAGAATCTCATCCTTAGCCATACACGAAACCATATGTTCCTTTCATTATGCACTCGATGATCAGAACATTAAAAGGTTTTTCACATGAAGCCTTGTCGATGAGAAAATTCCAAAAAGCCTACGAGAAAAAGAGAATAACAAGAAAAACTTTTTTCGAATTATAAGTGACTGGTGTTTGTAAGAGACATGGAACAGCCAAGTAAACAATAAAACAGATCCACATGATGCTCCAGAAATCAACAAGGCAACAGAATTGAGAATCATGTGAAGAAGAATTGAATAACCAAAAAACAAAAATGAATTTGAGTCTTGTCATGTGTGTGTGTTAGTAAGGGATCGTTCATATTATTGCGTGTGTGTTTACAAAGCGAAAAAGAACAAGAGAAGAAATCTTATCTTTTGAAGTATTTCACCATCCACACCATAAATATATTTCGGGTAATTTGCGCTTGACTTGCATGATGTGTAAGTCTTAAGAACAGCAGGTGACTCTCATCTGACAACACCAATGAACTTGTCTCTTCAATCTTCCCTTCTTTCGCCTTTAACTTACATTCTCATCTCGATAGGTTCATGTTTTTATTTTTTGCCTTTATTTGTTGGTTGACGAGTGATCTCAATTCGTGTTGCTTCAAGTGGATTTTCTGTCTAGTTTCAGATCTTTCGGTGCTTATTTCATTCTCTTTTCAGCCCTTTTCTCCTTGTACTTAAGAAACTTTAAAAATATTTCTGATTGAGTTCCGTTAATAACATTAATTTTACTACACAATGCTAAAGGATTATCGTGGTTTATGGTTTACATGCTTTAACATTTGCGAACGATTATTAATGAGAGTTGCTTGTTTGGGAATAAATTTCGATTTTCTATTTCTATTGGGACCTAATTTACAAACATTTCCTATTAAGTTTCTACAACTTCTAAAATTAAAACAAAATTCTTTCTTGTACTTACGTCAAATTGTTTAGCAAATTCCGAATTTTTACACGACAATATTTTTTATCTCTCATAAATATGACAAACATTGTAATCAAAAAGTGCTCAAACCGTATCTAAACAACAAAAAATATTTTCCTTCACTCATCACTCAGGTTTTTATACCTGCAAGAGAAATGAAACGAAATTTTTTCTCTACTTGAAGACACAAAAGTAAGAATAGAAAAATCAACCGTGAAAGATGCCAACAAGAAAGCAGAAAGAACAAAATGAAAACAAATCGTTGCGATCGCTATCGAGAGAGATGAAATTCATAAAATTAAGAAAAATTGGATTTGAGTGTTCAATTTTGGAACTTGAAATGAAATATTCGAGGTGTTGTTTTATTCTACTAAGAAGCGTAACATTATTTGAAAATTTTTTTTTTCTTATCATCTGTGACTCAATATTAAAGATTTGTGGTAGGCATGGAAAAAGGTTAAAAAGGAGCGAGACGAAACTTGAAATTTTCATTTTTCTCTTATGATGTGGTTGAATTGAATCATGTGTTTAAGAAGGGCAAGCAGAGGCGTACTACTAAGTCTTTTCATATTCTTTTTCTTCATCTGAGTGCTTGTTGTCGAACAGTTGATAAACAATAATTCTTCCAACTCATAATTTCTTCTTTTTTTTGCTTTCTTTCATTTCTTGTGAACGCTGTGATCTTATTTTTAGATCCCGATCTCGAGACCGAACATGTTTGTTATTTATTTTAGAAGCACAACGATGTGCGACGAATGTGATGATGAACGAGTTTTCTATTTTAAATTGAATGAGTAAAGTGCATCGCGATGTTGATTCTGTCACTGCCTTAGGATAGGTTCGAGATCATGTTGCGAAGTGATTAAATTGATGTTAAATTGACACAAATTGTGCGTTGGGGAAGGGCAGCCTGTAAGAGAAGTGCCCCAAATTCAAATTGCTTTTGATTATGATGTGACACACATTGAGATTACATTTAACTAAACTAAATATATTTCCATCATCAACAATTTAATTTCGTAGAAGTTTTTCAAGTTCAAAATCCAATTGATACAGATTTGTGTTAGTCTATCTCATGCACCATGCTGTGCTGCATCATAAATCCATCAAATTTCTTCTTTTGTTTCTACTATTTCGGGATGAATCGCATCATAAATCGTTTCATAAGAGAAGAGTCTTGTTTGAAAGCAACGCTGGATATGAAAATAAAATCTGGCTTTAAGTTGTCAGACATTTTAAACACAACAGACGAAGAGAGTCTCATAATCCACATCAACGTGGGTGAACGTTCTTCTTAAGATATTCCGTGAGACTATTGCAGTTTTATTTGTCAAACTGGCAACGCTAAATAAATAAATAAATATGCTAATAAATAAATTTATCTGATTAATTTATGTTTAAACTTCCAAACAATGAATTTGTGAAATGTTCTGAAACTGCAAAAGTGAAAAAGAGTTTCATGACAAAAATTTAAAACAAAATTAAATGAAAAATCCTCAAAGTGCAGACATCTGAATCAATTCTTTATGACAAGAAAGAAACTTCTTAGACATTTTATGTTGTTTTTGTAATTTCGTCGCCTTGAAATGTTTAGTCGACCAACCTTCACTTGGTGTTTCCATGCGCCATTGCAATAAAAGATCATAAATGATATCCTCAAAAAGGATCTCAGTATCTAAACGAGCGCATAGAAAACATCATAAACGATCTCAAGTTTTACAACTTTTCTTTTATGAATAAGGAAGAAGTTTTTTATGATCAACTTTTATTATAAACAGTTGGAAGAATTTGAGTTTTTGTTTTGAAACTGAGGTTTGATGTTTGATACAAAATGTTCAATTCTCAAAACATATCGAGTTGAATTTCTGAAATGATGAAGCAAGATTAATGTTTTTAATATGAATCATCCTAAAAGGCAAAAGCCTCGTGAAATTGAAACAACATTCTGCAAATTTGTTTTATTTTAAATAGCAATTGACAAGCGAAATATTTTCTCAATTTCAAGGGTATGAGCCAAAGTTCTACAATGCCAATGTTTTGATTATCGCGACACATATCGAATTACAAAAGAAAAAAAATAAATTCTTTCCCTCCTTCCATTTTTACTTTGTTTTTCATTCACTTTTATATTTATTTGCATTTTGATTTGTTGATAAACATTTCATCGCATCAAAGAGCTGCGATATGAAGAAATGATCACAATGTCTGATGATGCTGCATCATCTTACGGATTTCTTTTTGCCAGATGTTGTTCTTGAGAAATGAAAATCAATTAATTATCATTCTTCGTGACTGATGTTTTGCACAACTTTAGAAATTAAATTGTTGATCCCTTTTCCCCTACTCACACTCACACACACACACACACAATGAACTCTCGAGAAAGTTGATTTGAAAATATAATTAAGGTCTTTTTTGTCTTTAAACAACCGAACTGACTTCTACAATTGTAATTTATGATTCAACCGACTGAGCGAACATATGTTTTATGCTGCTTGATGCGAAACTTCATCCGAATCTAAACGAACTCAAAAATTTAACATTCTTGCTGTGACTTTATGTGAAATTCGACATGACGCTTGCTTGAGTGCTTGCAAACGATCCTTCGACATTTCACAGATCAAAAAGGATTCGATAATGTTACACAATGTTTCGTCCCCATCTTCCTTATTTAATTTTTTCCCAGACAAACTTCTTTTGTTTTCTTTTCTCAGCTGAAAAAGTTCCTTTTTTTGATCGCGTCTGCTTTTCTTTGAACTATTTTATGAGATGTTTAAAGTTGGATGCATTTTTGGACCTTAAAAAATACGATCGAATTTCATTTAAGCGAAAGAAACAAAAACGTTATCCTAAAATGTTCTCCGTGATACTTTGAAATTTAAATTTTTCTTTCACATTTGAACATTGAGACTTCTTTTTATTTAATGTTCATTTCTCTCATCGGTATGGCATTGACTTTAAGTATTAAGTTTGCTGCAAATGACGATGCACAAGTTACAGACAATGTAAACAAAAAGAAGATTCTTTTTTGCGAAGGCGTCACAAAACCAGATTTCATTTTTCATAAACCTAGCAACTCAATGCTTAGAATAAACTTAAAGAAAACTTTATGGAACAAAATGTTCTCACATTATTATAATATCAAATTTCAATATCTAATGTTTAAAAAAAAATTCATTTTTATAGAAATGGAAAATTTAATCAATAATCTTTACATTCGAATGTCAACATCAAAATTATAAAATTTAACTTGTTAAATGATATCCTTTTAAGAAATTATCCTCAAAATAAATGTTATCAAAATTGTTTAATGCTGTTTCATTTATGTATCCAAACGTCCATTTTTGTGAAATATCTTCAAAAGAATTGCATAATTAGTTTAAAATAAATTTCTATTCAAATAGTTTCGCATACCTGAAGCGTTACATGCTTGCATGCTTAGAATTCCATTGTTTGATGAAAAACCTAAAGTTGATGCACATTTTCCGTTCTCTTTATCCAAACTTATAAGTTGCTTGGTGTTCATATCATAATTCCAATTCTGATAGTCGCTTTCTTTATCATAAGCACAATAATTATTTTTCTTGTTGTTTAATGACATTGCTGAAGGCATTACACAATACTTTGAATTCCTGAAAATTTATGTTATTTAACAAAGCCACTGATTTCAATCAATCATACCATAATCTCAGCTTTTTGTGCCATGTGAATGTGAAATGTTGGTTCCTATTGTTTGGCTTTTGAAGATCATCGCTCGCACATTTCAATAATTTCACTTTACCGTCCCCATATTCCATGCATAAATCAGGATGTTCATCACTTCTTATTGCTCCAAAAGCAAAAAATCCTGGATACTAAAATTATAGTTAATTAATCTGAAGTTTTCTAACTTTCATTAATAATTTACATCACGTTGAAAGAAAAATTGTGTGTACATCTCTGGACAAATTTCTTCCAAGAAATATTGAAATGGTTTGCAACTGAGTTTCTCTCTTAGAAACTTTTGCTTTGTTAAATCACCAGGATCGACGTCAAATCTTTTGGGATCAGCATCATACATGACTTGCTGAAGTTAAAAACATGCGTGAAAAACGAGAAAATATCATTGATTAAACTTACTTTGTAATCGTCTAGCCAAACTTCTGCAACTCTCTTGAAGTTTCGAGCGGTAGTGTCAACTCCATCTAAAGTGTGAGTTGTTTTAACGTTCTTGTAGAAATGACTGACTCTCGAACAAGGAACATTAACTAAATTTCCACCACATAAATGAAGTTTCAATGAGAGTTCCATTTGTTCTCCATTCCAAATCTCTAACCCTTCATCATACATGCCGAGATCTTGAAAATAATCTCGTCTGATAGCAAACGAGCCACCCAGCATGACTGGCACCTGGAAGATACGTAGTAATGTTATTGTTTCCAAATTTAAATATATTTGCTCGTGTCTTGAAATTAGCTCATTATTGTATTAACAGCTTTCAATATTTTTGAAAGAGTTCGAATTTAAAGATACGAGACAATATCAATTGATTATTATTGATCATAAATAGTTAATTAATGTGTCAATTTTTTCAACAATTTGCATAACAGTTGTTCATATACAAGTTACACATTAAGCCTTTGAAAACGTCAAGACAAGTTCAAATTTATTTGTTAACTGACCTGATAGGGTCGATCAAATCTATTTTTATCTTCTGGCCTTAAAGCATACCTGATAAAAATGTTTTCTTTTGTTATAATTGAATTAAAAACATTAAAAGTTGATGAAAATGTTATAATCAACGAACCAAACGAACCACATCGATTCATCAAAAAACCCACGGTATCGACCAACACCGTGATAATTAAGATCATGTCTACTAACACCATCAGTTGTAGGTGTTGCTGCAGTTGTAGGTGTTGCTGCAGTTGTAGGTGAAATTGCAATTGGCTCTAAACAGATCATTATGAGATATTTTAAAGAATTATTTATTCAATATCAAAATCAACAACCTAAAAGTGGCGGCAGCCAATTAGTATTAACTTCCATATGGGCATCAAGAAAAATCACAACTTCACTAGTCGCACGTTTGACTCCTTCCATTCGTGTAACTATTAATCCTTTACGTCCTTCAAGCCGAACAAGCTTAACACGATCATCAAAATTTTCCCTTAAGTGATTTTCAAAATCTTCTTTGAGTTCTGGTCTTGTGCTGCTGTCGTCAACCAAAATAATTTCCTTTAAAAGTTCTCGAGGTGATCGGTTATAAACTGAATAAACTGTACGTAACACAATGCTTGGATATTCGTTATAAAAAATAATGATGACGGATGCAGTTGGAAGTCTATTTAAATATTTTTTCATCATACAGGATTTTGGTCTCGTATCAGGAACCGAGCGATTCAATGCAATCATATCACTTATTAATGCACTGAAGCCTTCTTGCTTCTTCAATTGCTTGTTCTTTTCAATATCCTTTGGGTCAGTTAAGACAACAGGCGCACCTTGTTCACCGAGACCTGTTCTTTGAGCTTCCTTTTTCATAAATTCATAATCGTGCCAATCTTTTCTATCATACACCAACTCCATAGGATATTTCTTACATTCTCCTACACCATATAAATCAAAATGGAATTTCTTAAAATTATTGAAGTTTTCATGCTCCACTTTTTTGCGATTTATCAATATGTAAATAAAAAAAAATATTAAAGCAAGAACTACAATATTACTAACTCTTCTATTAAGAAAAGAATTCACAAGTCTTAACGCTTTCATCGTTAAAAGATAAATGATGTTGAGAAGTTATTCCGTTTTTATAGCATCAGCAGAAATTAAATGGTGTAGAATACCAGAAAAAAATATATTTTGAAAATGTATCTAATTTAAATATCCAGAAAAAAACTTCTTTAACTATATTTTATTTTTGTGCATTAAAAATTCATATAGGTTATGAAAGTTCAGTAATGCCAAAAAAATTTGATAATTTGCATCCTTTAAATTTTCTATTAAAACAACAACTTGTGGAAATATTTTGATGCAACTTTTTAGTAAAAATACAATGGTTTACACTTTTTCAACTTATCTTATATTGCGCTCAAGAATTTTTTTATTAATGAAGCCTCCAAATAGCGTAACGAAGGCAACGAAACTGTTCTTACTTAAAAAAATGTAAATATTGCAGATACAATCAGGATTTCTGTGAAAAAATTGAACTTTTATTGAAAACTTTACGGAACAAAATGTTTTTGTTGTCTTTTTTTTACATTACTATTTCATCATTTTTCATTATCTTATATTTGACACTTTAAAGGAACAGAAAATTTACTTAACTGGTTAAATGAAACTTAACTGGTTAAATGATATCCTTTCAAGATATTATCCTCGAAATAAATGTTATCAAAATTATTTAATGCTGTTTCGTTTATGTATCCAAAAGTCCATTTTTGTGAAATATCTTCAAAAGAATTGCATAATGAGTTTAAAATAAATTTCTGTTCAAATATTTTCGCATACCTGAAGCGTTACATGCTTGCATGCTTAGAATTCCATTGTTTGATGAGAAACCTAAAGTTGATGCACATTTTCCATTCCCTTTATCCAAACTTATAAGTTGCTTAGTGTTCATATCATATTTCCAATTCTGATAATCGCTTTCTTT